TTTCAGGTAATATCTATTTCAATAAAAATTTTCACCGTAATGATACCTTAACTAGTTCTTTTTTATTCAACCTTCAAATCAGTAAGTTTCCTTGAATCACCCTATAGATTTGAGGATGAATTTCAAGACGACTTGTTCTCCTAATCAGTGAGTAATCACATATTTTTAAGAATGTCCAGTGACTCATTTGGTGAATCGGTTCTCTTGTCATTGTTAGCTATTTTTAATAGGGGTGATAAATTATTTAAATTTGTTTGAAAAGATAATGGAATTTCCATAATGTTGAATTTCGTCGTAATTCATAGATATTTGTCCACTGATTGATGTGTGGAGCAGGCATTTTTATAATAGTATGAGCAATTATATAGACTCTTTACGAATTATACAAATTTTGTTAATCATAATTCAGCAGTTTTATGTATACCTGTCAGAATTGAATTAAAATTTATCGTTGTTATATTACGGAATGATAATTGTCAATTAGCATTCCAGATTCCGCATATCTTTGTAGATTTCCACAATCGAGACAACATGAATTTACGAATTTTTTGCGAAATACACATAATGATTTTTCTATTGAAATTGATGAAATTTCCCATAATAACTGAAAATGCATATTGCAGAGGTAATCATTCTTTCGTGTAGTCTATCTTCAAAACGATTTAGTTTTCTAAGAGCTCGAGCATAGCTTCGTAGAAAATTTTTAAAATTCATGGGTAAACTCTAAGAAAAGAGAAGCACCCGTCTTTATTCGTAATCTAACTTTGTGCACGTAGAAAAGGTCGACCTGCCACCGAGTTCACGTTGATGAAACCCATCCTAACGCTCAGCCGTTGTATGTTGTTATTACCTGAAGCCGTTGTATGTTGTTTAAAATGTTCTCTCTGACGATATTGGCCTCGTTTTTTCAATAAAAACTTGTAAAATTTTTCAATAAAAAATAGCAGGCTTCTCCGTCTGTACCGTAACCTGATGGCTGTACCGAAGTGTAGAAGCGAAGTGTCCGCGCTGCATACACAGCGGGTCACATTAATGAGCAAGTGAAATGTGCCTAATTGTTAACCATCGATTTCTGACGCATCCAAATATCAGCGTTATATTTACCAGGTTATACCACCTTGAAGTAGGTTATAAGTAGGTTATAAGTATAAGTAGGTTCCCACCTTGATGTTTTCGGACAACTTATGTCATTAATTATCAAAACTTCCGAGCAATAGATTTAATTTTGTAAAGCATATTAAATGCATCACTCTGATGAGTTCTATTAACGCAGACGAGTAAAATTTTCGCAACAGTTTCAAAGAGAAAATTTTGGCCAGAGTTGACCTGTTACTGGAAGCATACATGCTTGTCCCTTATTGAGTTTTCTCATCTCGCATTAAAATTTTTAACCAGTGGTTCCCAAACTTTTTCAGGCTGGCGCCCCCTTTGGCTTCCTAGTGAATTTCTAACGCCCCCCCACAGACATAAGCCTCTTTCATGAAATTTATTACGCTGCAATTTTAAAAGATAAAGGTTGAACACAAATGTTTATTTAACAAATAGAACCCCATTTAGTGAACCAATATGTTTTTCAGCTGTTTTAACTGTTTCAGCACCAGAAACCTAGGACATCGCGGGCGAATTTACGGCCAGACTCGTGGACGGTCTCACGACCAATTTCAAAATTCAATGATCAAGGAATATTTCTCAAACTAATCAACGCAACTCTATGAAACTTGGAACACGTATTCATCAGAACTTAACGGTGACGTTTAGCTCGTATTTTTTTTTAATTTCACCTTCATTCGTGAGTAACGCGTATATTGCGTAACAGGCCGAAATTCGCTGTGATCAAAGAATTTCTTCCATACTACTGAACTGATTTGAACGAAATTCTGAACATGTATTCCTAACTACCAAACTGTGATATTTTAGCTTATATAATTTTTTTCGATTTTACCTTAGTTTGCTAATTTTTTTTTTCATTTCACCGTCATACTTGATTTCGTACTTCCTTGTATTCGGCCCGTTTCGCCGGGTAATTTGTCACTTAAATTTGCGGCGATCAAGAAATTTCTTCTAAACTACAGAACAGATTTCAACGAAACTCTGTATATAAATACCTAACCTCTCAACGGTGATGTTTAGCTTGTAACAATTTTTTTATTTGCTTTCGTACGCGAGTTATACAGATTAGGAGGAACGACCGGCTTTTATACCGGCCGGTTTAACCAAGAGCTTTATACATATAGGCCGTATAACTCGCAAACAAAGGCAAAACAAAAAAATTGTAAACATCACCATTGCTAAGATTAGGTATTTAAATACTAAGTTTCGTTCAAATCTGTTCAGTAGTTTGGAAAAATTTTCTTGATTAATGCGAATTTAAGCACGTATTGCTGTTTAAATCACGAATGAAGGTGAAATGAAAAAAAAAAAATAGCTCGCGAACGAAGGCACAATCAGAAAAGTTTTCACGAGCTAAACATTACCGTACGGTAGTTGGACTGTAAATTCAATATTTCGTTCAAATATGTTCAGTGCTTTGGTATAAATTGGTTGATCACTGTGAATTTCGGCCTGTATTGTCATATAACTATGGCAAAAACCAACAATGGCAAAATTCAAACAATTTTCACGAGCAAAACATTGTCGTTAGGTCCTAATGAATACGTGTACCAAGTTTCATAGAGTTAAGTTCATTAGTTTGAGAGATATTCCTTGATCATTGAATTTGGAAATTGGCCGTGAGACCGGCCGCGACTCTGGCCGTTAATTTGTCTGAGACGTAAACCCAGTAGAGGTTAAAAAAACAGATCTGGGTGAAAAAAACCATCGCTGGGAGTCATGTGCTGCACGTGTTGTGTACAAATCGTCAAACAAACGTTCGACCTTCTAACAGTGACTTCAGACTATCGCCCCCCTACCGCCCTCTTCTTCCATATCGCCCCCCAAGATCTTTCCACCGCCCCTGGGGGGGCGAAATCGCCCACTTTGGGAACCACTGTTTTAATCGATAATTTTTTTACAAATCTTGAACTATCATGCCAGTAAAGTTAAAAAAATTTTGGACCTTCACATAGATCAGTGAATGGGGATTACGACTATAGGAGATCTCCCCCGCTCTAGAATTACGACTAGAGTCACTAACGAAGCTATGCTTGAGCATATGTTCAGTCTTGAAATGCCTGGCACCTTACGAGCCTTGCAATAAGTCCAGCAGCTATCTCAATCAATCGTCAGCTATGGAAAGATCGGGTTCCAAAGGCCGGATCCCTTGTGAATCAAGTCACAAAAGTACAAGAATCGGCAACAGGCCATGGGCCTATTTCTTCAATGCCGTCACTTCTATTCTATTCTATCTTCCTACTCACGATACGACGATATGTTTGCCCATAACATATTTTTCCCGCCAAAAAATTGGACTAACTTCACTAAAATTAAATTACTGAATAAATCTGTCTATTGGCCTTTAAATCGAAAAATTCATTAATCAATGTGGGAACAATCAAACATTTAGAATGCGAATCCCATAATTCATTTAATAACAAACAACTCAGAGGAAACGTAGCTTACAAATGAAATAAACGAGCGAATTCTGTACTTTCGTTGAAGGAATACCACGTGGGGACACCTTACTTTAAATCTTAAGAATATGTTCCGTCTTAAGTATTAATAAAATACCTTCTTAGTAGTCTCAAATGATACCGCACAAGACGAAATCTCGGTGACGGAAACAATTATCAAATAAATTGCACATAAATTACTTATTTATATTTCAATTTATGGCTGCAACGGAATCAACAATATTTCGTGTATTTGTGTTTATTTTTTTACTTTGATCAAGAATTACGGAAAAATAAATTAAAATTGAAGCACATTAATTTCAATGCCAGGTACAAAAAACTTATTCGTGACTATAAACGATCATTATTTTACCGATGAAAATTCATGAAAAGCTATAATTAAATACCTGTTGTTGTAATAGTTACATTGATTACAGGATTTACAATAAGTTAGATGTACTGTATTCGATCTGCCAGTTTAGTTTAATCAAGCAATTAAAATTGCGAAATTTAAAAAAAAACTAACTGCAATAATTTGGAAAATTTGAAGTACTTTTATCATTTTTAACGTACTTCAAACCGCGTTGAAGATTAAATTAGTCAATAAGTTAAATAAATTAGTTACCGAGCTCCACATTCGAATGATTTCTAATTAATCTTGATTAGCAAACTAACTGAACGACTTACACCCTCTAAAGATGCGATATTATCGACAATTGTCAGTGGAAATTTTTGTTTGTTAGCGAAATCAAGAAAATTTGTACAGAAATTTTCAATCAGTCTAAGTAGATAGTATAAATTTTCATGCTATGAAAATACCTGTATTACTTATAAGAATTGACAATCTAATTCATGGTGTAAGGCTCTATTTTACCAGAAACAAATACTATTTATTGGAAAACTGAATTCATTGAGAATTCATGATTTATCTATCGAGGCAATTTCTCGATATGTAAAAAAGAACGCGAAAAGAATTCAAACAACAAAGAAAGATGCCATTCCGATTACTAAGTTTCCACGTTTGATTCAAGATAAACGCAGAAATACAACAACGTGAGTCTGTTTTACAATCTACGTCCGAAATATTTAATTTATTGTTATAATAAGCGTTCAAAAAAGTCGAATAATTAAAATTAAATCAAGCCTTAAGATTACTGTGGGCGAATTTTTATAGGGCGAGGTATGAAAAATTCCACCAATGCAGGGAAAAACCTTTCTTATAAACGAGTATATTTTAGTTGTACAGTTGAGAAGTGAAGGGTTTTGTTCAAAATATATGACTAAATAAATACTAATTTTCCTCACTTTCAATGCGTAGAGTTGAAGTAATTAAAATGTAACTATTTTGGATAGAATTTTTAGTTTGGAAACTGATTCGAAAATTTAGTTCTTTTATTAATCCTTGAATGAATGAAATTCGGTGTAAATTAAATTCTTTTCGTTGATTAGCAAAAAAATGCATATTGCACGGCTGGATGAAATTTAGAATTGAAAATTTATAAGAATCCCGTACTCAAGAGTTTTGAAAGTGATTACTACTGCGGACTAACTTTTTGAACAATATCCTGTTAAAATATAACTTGCAAACCAAGAAATGATGACATAAATTTTGCCAAGATGAGCGGAGTAGAAGTAGATCGAGTAGACGTAATTAAAATCCTCGTTCATCGCGTTGACGATGAGGTAGAGTCGGCCTCCGCTGTCGGATTACCTGTTGCGTCCGTACCGGTTACTTCTCCTGCACGGGTAATTATACATTATTAGGCATTTTATTATTACTTCTATATTTGTGAATGTGTAAGAAGTTCTAAATTTAAAATATATTTGAAGCTGATATATGCACAGTGGTTGCCCTCAAAATTTCCAATATCACCTCTGCTTAGCTAGCGTTTTTCCGCTATTTCGCGGGTTGCTTTAGGACTGTGTTTTTTGCAAATATAATTATAGGATGCGAATTATGTGATAGCATAGGGATTTAGTTGATTATGTTATCAAATGTAAGTAAATTGTTTTTGTTTTTTGACGATTAACGTGAATGATTATGCGAAATCTTCGATTCGGGGCTTGGTTGAAAACATTTCAGTTTTTACAGATTTTGAAAAAATGTTTGTGTACAATAAAATAATGGTGTATTAAACATAATATGTAGGTGAAATAAGAACAAAACATTATTGCGGTGCGGTTTTAAGTGGAGTAGAACATTGAATATGGAATATATATAAAGATAAAAAAAAGGTTTATGGAGAAAAAAAGAGCAATGCAATAAGTTAATGAAAACGGATTTTGTAATCCGTTAGGGTAAAAATAAAATTATAATATATAGCGTTAAATAAGTAAAAATTTGGAGAGATACTGGCGTCCGAAGGGCACATGCTTGCGTCATTATTACATTATGGATGAGTAAAATTCACTATAAAAAATAAAGCCTTGAAAAAGTGCTCAATACGATGGCCATTTTTGACCTATACGAAAAGTGCTAAATCATTTCGAATCGCCGTTAAATTCAGCCAATAGTGCAGGTTCACTTCCAGAAAAAAATTAGAAAAGAATTAGGAATACTGGCCTTCATTGACTGAGCATCAGTTTCTTTTTGAGCACAAAAGCAGCTTTTGAGCTTTCTTGAATTGCATGAAAGACATTGATAGAGTTCCAGAATAGAGAAGCCTTGCTGCAGCCTTGCAAGATCTTCTGAGTTTCCGAGTGAGCGACCTGTCGTTCTTACATTTTGCTGCAAGGCAACTCTTCAATTTTCGATCACAAACACGTTTTTTAGCTCTACACGAGGCACCGTAACATAAAGCGTGGACATTACAGCATTCTGTCATTTCCGTAATCGGTAGATGAGTGTCATGCATGTGGAAACCAAGGGCTCCACACGCGGTGGTGTGGGATAGATCAGGTAGCGGGATGTCATCAGAGAAGACCTCTAGCTGGGCGTTCTTCGAGCAGGTCCCAGGCGCCGAGTCTCTGCAAGTTCGGCCTCCTGAAGGTGCGGTATTTTTACCATCAGAAGCCACGTAGTCGTCTATGGCTTGCAATGTATCAGTGACTGCTCCTGCTCCATCGGTGATGTCTCTTAAGATTCGCGTGCCTCTCATCACTGACTTGTAGAGATTGTAGAACATCATCGCGTTGTTGGTGATGGCTGCATCTGACGCGTTTATCGTGAACAGCACGACCAGCACTAATATAGGCAGCTTTAAATGCATTTCTGTTTCTTATTTATCTTGGATATATGGTGCAACTTATAAACTGAATGAGTGATTACCAAATAAGATATTTGCAAATATTATTCTTTCATAGGGCAAAACTTGATAATAACTAACAAATGGGTTGTAAGTAAAGCTCGATAAAATAATACTGGTTAGGCTCTGAAAAGTTGAGAAATTGACCATCTTACTAACAAAGCCATGCATAAGTAATTATTGTAGAACATATTTCTAGAATTAATTCTGATTTTTTATTCTACTCTAAAACCATTCATTGATAATGAATGACAAATATTTAAAGGATTCTATTGTACTACAAAAAAAAACTTACTTGGACACGCATTATTTTACTATTGTTATAGATGTTAGATATAATATGTAGATTATATGTTTATATTTATTATATTTTTTGTTTGATATATTTAGTTATTATCGGTATATAACCATTAATTAAACATGATCGACGGAAAATTTTTGCCAGCTTGCATTGAACTTGCAAACGATAAATCAATAGAAACCTAAACTATATAATGACGAATGCGATATAGACCTTTGAAGTATTGTAAATTTGTATATCATTATTACTTTTTCATTAGGCTTAGAAATCGTTGGTAGCCTTTTATTTTTTAATTATTTTTTTATATAAGTCTTGCAACCATTTCATTCTACTACGTAAAAAGTATGATAAAAGGTTTAAAATCACAAAGTTAATATTTATCTGATTTTAGAGTGCGGTAATAAGTTTGGAGTATTTTCGGTGGTGTAAATAGTTATATTTAATATATTTATTTTGATTTTTGCCATAGGGAAAGTTCCTAACGTTGAAAAGAATAGAAATACATTTTTCCCAGCCCCCATTCCATTGATTTCAATTGCATTTTTTTCAAATATATGAGCATGTTAAAGTTTTACGAAAATTCGGAATTGCATTTTGGTATTCATTTGTTGAGGATAAGAACGAACAATGAGCATTTGCTGCAACCGTCTGTTCTTGATGGTTGACTCTGACGTGTTGTAACTACAGTATATTCAAGAAGCAATTTCATTGCTGCTAAAAATACACATAATTTTGTAGTTTAAATGCCAAAAAAAACGCATGCATCTTTCGGCCCAAATTTGAATTTCATCTTACAGATTTTAATAATGAAATTAGTAAATAACCATCATCCAGAAAAAAACAAAAATCAGAAAAAAAAGAAGTATAAACAACCTTTCAAAAGGCTGAGCTAAATTCAAACATAAAATCATGACAATTTCTAGCACACAATTTTGTTTTCAATGATGAAAAACTCTCCAAAAGCCAATTTGGTAAGCTATCGTTTATAGCTGTGAATTTACTACACTTCTAAGTGTTCTAAATGTCTACTTTGATGTAGGGAATTCATGAGTGTGTGGCTGTACAAACTATAATGGGCACATGAATATTAAGTTTAAACTGCCAGGAAAATTCATACAAGATTATTTATAATTGTGCAGTGTGCAATCATTACCCTTGGCATTTGAGGGCATCTTGGGCATCTTTGTATTGCTGATAAGAAAGCGCCATCGTTCCCGAGAAGAGCAACTTAGCAGCAGCATAGCAAGGTTTCTTCTGCGAGCGTTCAATTGATTTTTGGTCGCAATGAGAAAAGAGACATGACCTCAGTTTCGAGTCACAATCCCTCTTATTCACGCGACAAGCAGAGGTGTAGCAAGTGTTGTGAACTCCACAACACTCGATCATTTTTCCAACCGGAAGATTTGCGTCCATTATATGGAATCCAAGAGCTCCACATCCATTGAATTTCGGCATCTCTGTTTCCGTTGAGGTATCCGGTTCAGATTTGGACTCTTTCGAGCAAGATTCATCCTTTGAGTTTTGGTCACACGTAGCGATTTCATCTCCGTTTTCTGTAGCTGTTTTATCTTCTTCTATGGCTTGTGCCACGGATTCCTCGAGCTGTTTTTCTGCGTCTGTGTCTAGGAAAGTATCGATGGCTTTAATGGCCTTGGAAACAGCGCCTACTCCTTCAGTGACGTCATGTAGAATCCTACTACCTGTCACCACGGAATCGTATAAATTCCAGAACAGAGCGACGTTGTCCGAGAAAGTGTCCGTTCCGCGGACTGATAGTACGGCAAGTGCATAAAACAACGGTAACAGGAGTTTTCCAGTCATGATGTTGAAATTACTTTACTTAAATTGAACAGAGAAACTAATTGTCTCTAAAATGAAAATAGTAGTCCGAGAACCTGATAGTGAAGTTAAAGAAGCGTGAGCTAATAAATAAAGCGTAAAATTTAACACGGTGTATTTTGATTAACCTAGATAACTTTGATGGAAATATTATATAATTGGACGAAAGAAGAGCAACATGCGCATGTATCCCTCTCCGATCATTGTCCCCGTTCGCTTAATTGCGTTTGCCAAGATTTCGTGGCACACTAATGCAGGAATTCGTGCGTGATTCAATTTATTCTAGTCGACACTTTACCCAAGATCGCGATATCAAAAAATCGATATTCTTATTTTGACAAATTTAAAAGAAACATTGATAGTGTGTAGACTACAAAATGGGTTAAAGTTCATGAAATTGGCAATGATATCATATTGTGTAAGTTTCCTTTGATGTCTAATCCCTGTATGGCTGAAACCAATTCACTGGCATCTCTTTCTAGGAGAATTTCGTTACTGCTGCCGCTATTCCGCTATTTTTCGTATAAATTTTTTATTTATTGTTCAACCAAGCAAACCAATCGGCATTAATGCTCTCTAATCTGAACACATACAAAGTTTTTCTTAAAAATTCTTGTCACACACATGAATACTTAATAATTCTACCTATTTTTGATAATAGATACTGAAGTCATTTAGAGAAATGATATTATATCATAATATGTCCCGAAAATATTATTTAGTGCATCTCTTTTGAAGGATGCTTGATGCACGAGCATATCACAAGTACAATTCACGTCTACTGACACAGAGGAGATGTGGGTACCTCGCTTTGGCGAGATGATGACGTCACATTGCAAGTCTGGTGCCAAAACTTACGTGGCCATGCGCGTGATCGTACCGTTCATTGGTACACGAAATATTCGGATTTTCCGTGTGCGATGCCGTGACCAAAGGCGTGATTATGATGTTAAAATTACTGAAAATTAAAACTAATGTCTGTAGATATTATATTTAATTTTTGGCGCAATTTTGTCAATTAAAATTTTAGTAACAAGGCCATGATGATCCAAAGGTGTACTGCTGAATCGTAGATTTCTTAATCGTATGCGTACTGCGTTTTTGATATTACTTAGGAATAATTATTTAATTTATGAATTCTTAAGTGATAATATACACATTGACATCTCTTGATTTCTTGATTTCTTTTTTCACAGTCTCTTGATTTCTGTTTAAAAATTTTCCCGTAATTTAAAATTAATGCCAAAGCGTCCATGCCAGGATTTGAAATTGAAGCCCAAGCGAGCCCATGCCTCCATGCGGTATAATTAATTCACTCGTGCAACATTAATTCTGTCTAAAATTTTTCCGGTTAACTCTCTACATTTCTCTGGAGAAATTTTTTTTCTCTACTCTACATTTTATCAAATACTGCCTCGATCTCAGCTATAACGCTGCTTTCATCAGTAAGATTATTTGAAACAAATTGGCAATTACTGGTCAAAATTTAAAAAAAAAACCTAGGCTTGCCCACACTATTGAATGAGTCGTATTGTTATAACATTAAGTAATTTTTTGTTAGGATCAAAAGTGCGACCCGCCCAGCGGTTGGTATATATAGCCGGGATCCCGAGCTCTTCAGTCTCTATTGAGTCGCCACTGAGAGGGAGTGTGTGTGTCTGTGCTCTGCTCCTGCAATATCTTCTTGTAGTCGCAATCATGGGTAAGAAAATGATTATGAATTCTATGAAAAATTTGGTGATCATAGCAGGTAACCTGTGTTTCTTTGTAGCTACGTTTATCATTAATTCCGGTTTTAATTATAGTATTATACTCTGTCCTGACAATTTTGGCTGTCAGAGAAAATTTGTCTGCTTTTTATGATAAATTTAATGGAAAAACCATTGCACCTTCTGATTAATTACTAAAATTTTACATTTTAGTAATCGTATAAGAGGGCCGAACTTCATTTGCTGACCGCCCTTAGCATTTGTTCCAAAAGTCCCAGTGTCAAAGTGTCTCCAATAATTTGAGTATACATGCATGCTGAAATTTTTTGAAACTAAGACCAAGGGCCTATTTTAATTTAATTCGCACTATTTGATAATATTGATACTCGATGTTGATTAGCCGACAGTCATTTTCGTTTTTCACGCATGCGAATTCACATTTACACAATGCAGTAGTTCAGAAAAAAAGCTGGTCATTGTTTCAAATGCTTGGACAATTAGTTGAACCAGAATAAACTACTGACAATCAGTCTGAATATCCTGAATTTCAACGACTTTAGACTAGGAGACATGTACGTGATTTTAGTTCGTACCTTATTGACCTTCTCGCCTCCCACATGCACAGGGAGGTGGGGAGAGTCGTGGTCTGAGATTGTGGGCAACTGCAAGCGCTTGGTTCAAGCTGAGCAAAAGCTTGCATTTTTTTATCGTCTGTCTCGATTGACTGACAATTGTTTTTTTTTCCTTCTGTTTTGAATGCGCTAAAACCAAGGAAGACAATAGCTGATACTCGATATTTATATTTGAGTTAAAAATTGGTCGGCAATTTCACTTTTCAGCTGACGAAAGGTATAATAATTCCAGTTGATCAAAGGATACGCGAAACAGTTTTAACGAAGTTAAGATAAGAATTTCCTAAATAGTCTTAAACGGCAAGTGTTGGATTTTAAATTGTGTACCGCCTAATGGCATTTACCTATGCGAGATGCAAATGATTTCTTTCAATAGAGAATAATTGTAAGAAAAAATTCATTGATTGAACTTCTCGAGCGCTCGTAACCCAGTCTAAAAATATTCTTACAAGATAATTTTTTTTTCTCTTCAAGGACGCAGCTCCAATTGAAGAAATCTTGTACTATTGTGTATCCCTGCGCTATCAAACGACTCTATTAAACAAGATATTATTTCTATAGATAACACAGTGCCAATATTTAGCTTGTAAATAGAATGGTATTCCACTATACAGATTAACAAGTATAGTTATAACCGTCGGTTATATGATCCGCAGCAGGAAGCGTCTGTTGCAGCTGCTGCTGCCTCAATTGTTGCGGCAATCGCTGCTGCTGCTGCTGTGTTTGGTTGTGTCGATTGTTGTGCTTGGAATAAGAATAAACTCTTTAGGCACACGGCATTGTTGACTCATGAGCTCGTTAGGTCTTCCTTTAACTTTGTTTCGATCACTTGTTGACCTATCATTTAAGACATTGAAACGTCAATAGCTTCTTTCGGAGGCTCGATCTTTCGTAGGCTCGATCTTTCGCTGGCCCAATCATTCGTTGACCCAATCTTTCGTTGACCCAATCTTTCGTTGACCCAATCTTTCGTTGACCCAATCTTTCGATTTCGCTGACCCAATCTTTCTTTCGCTGACCCAATCTTTCGCTGACCCAATCTTTCGCTGACCCAATCTTTCTTTCGCTGACCCAATCTTTCTTTCGCTGACCCAATCTTTCGCTGACCCAATCTTTCGCTGACCCAATCTTTCGCTGACCCATTCTTTCAATAAGCGATTGATGGGCTTAGCCACTCCCCGAGTCACCCATTCTCCCCGACTCTCTAATTCTCCAGTCACCCCAAATGATTAGTTGCAAATGACTAAATTTTCAATTATTTGTCTGACTTTCCGACTCGAGCCTTCGTTATAGGCGCTCTTTCTGACTCGAGCCTTCGTTATGGGCAAACTATCTGACTCGAGCCTTCGTTATAGGCGCACTATATATCTGACTCGAGCCTTCGTTATAGGCGCACTATCCGACTCGAGCCTCCGGCCGTTATAGGCACACCATATATGACCCGAGCCTTCGTTATAGGCGCACTATCTGACTCGAGCCTTCGTTATAGACGCACTATCTGACTCATTGACTAGAAAAAGCCATTCCCACCCATGCAGTCATGGTCGCCGGCGTCACTGTTTTTTCAACGTGACACTGACTCATTGGTTAGTCGTTTTTAACGACTCATGCTGTGTCTGCAATGACAATTGAAATAAACACATTTTCCCAGTATACAGTCTTACCTAATCAGAACCCTAACTGCTCTACTTGTCAACTAAGTATCAGGTGTTGAGTTTCATGTCTGAATGGAAATTACGCTTCTATTTTCTTTATATCTTCGGATATGTCAGCCGATGTCAATGCTATTCATACCCAAACTCTTCGTAGCTGGAGAGACTTCACGAAGTCGATGTTACCGTACGATCAAGTTAATGACAAACATTGTACAAAAAATTCTTCTATAATAAAGGCTCAACTGCCTGGATACCGAGACAAAGCTTCAATACTGGGGCCGGCATTGCATGACGAATAGAAGGAATACCAGCTAGTAACCCATGACCAGTTTTCAGTTACCTCGGGAATATTCGCAGGTTTTAACCGTGACCTTGACGTTCACGCCCGGTCGTCGCTCTGGCAGGCAGCTGAATATACACTATACACCACACATAGTGTCTCGGTGTATCTTTCTCTTTCATCTATAACGAAATTTATCGGATCCCAGAGAATTAAGAATCAAAGCATTTCTTAAGAAGCCGAGAAAAATTGATAGTATGGCATTTTAGAACTACGGTAGATTAATCCATCAACCCTGCAAAAATTTCCAATTAATATTCATGAATGGAGGGTTGAGCAGATGCTTGATATGCCATCGAATAACGACCATAATTCGATGGCATCTCAGAAACCACTATAATTACCCTAGCCTCTAGCTAAATATTTACTTTTATTGGTAAGTAAAGGATTGATTCGGGTGACCAATTGTCTGTAGTTGACAGCCCGGGCAACATGGTTCAGAAAGGCATAACATTCGCAAAATTTCGCCAACTAATTCACTTCTATATGTTAACGGTTGATCACTTATAAATGAGCGACAATTAACTAGTAGAAGGCAATACTATTGCTAGCATTCTTGATAAACGTGTCTCTGTTTTTTTTTTTTGTTACGCTTATATTCACACATATTTTTATAACTGAATATTATCTACGCTATTAAATTCTATTTATAATTGACGCTATAACATATAGATGTCGTTGTTCTATTATTGGCCTCCTATAAACCGCCGCTGTTTACCAGAGTCGGGGCGTGGCGACTCGGTCGTATATTTAGACGCTTGCTAGCCCCGGTCTAGTGAACAGTTTCAGGAATTTTTACTCGTCATTATTATTACTTGTTCGGTGCTTGAAGGCAGCGATCAGGCAAATAGACAAGACGTGGCCTGGCAAGCAGTCAAGTTTATAACTCCACCTCCATTTTCAGTTCACCTATACGATTCCTATTCATCGCATTACAGAACATTGCCCGCATCGTAGTGATTTGTTGTCGTATTTCCCCACATTCTTTCCAATATTTTGTCCGTATTTTTATGTATCATTAAAATTTTTGGCAATTTAATCCGATCCATCGTCGCTAATTTTTGTTGAGTTTATTATTTTTGTAGATGAAAATTTTGTTTCAAATTTATTTTATCGGCTCTGTAGGCTTGTGTGTGTTTTGAATAACCCAACGAAACCAAAGTAATCACATATTCGTGACTCGGATAACGAGGTGCAATATAATATATCATTACGAATGCCTCGCGAAGCGTCAGAATGAATTATTGAATAAATCGATTCAATAACACTAATGGTGCCAGTCATTGTCGTGAAATTTATTGTCGCGCGAGCATGTACACAGTATTCCGTATTATAGTTCCTACGAGTAAGTTACTTCGTTTTAGAGCTAATGATTATTATTAGAATTGGCTCGGCTCTTGTACGTTCAGGACCCAGAACTACGTACTTCTCCTTGTAAGTATTCTGTAATCAGTTTCTGTATGCGTAAGATATTCACATATGAATATATTCCCTTCACGTTGTCGTGCTACTATGTAGAGGGCTAGGTATTAAGGATCAATAATGTGTAATATATTGATGTATAGTGTATAGGAAAAAGATATATTTTAATTAGGATGTAAAAGTTGTAAGATTGTTTTAGAAAGAATCGTAGCTTTGCTGACTGGCGTCGTACGAACGGATTCATTCGGATTTTAGAGAGCGGAAAGTAAGGATCCCTCTATTCGGCCTGTATATGTCTTGTTCCAGATTGTCTCTGTGCACTTTGTAACCTTGCCCAATTTTATATTTGTGTTGTGGTGTTGGATTTTAAGTATATCTTGACCAGAAAAGACTTTTATTCATGACAACAGTTCATGCGAACCTGGTGGTCCACAACAACTATTTTGACTGTAATGTAATTTTGTTCCAGGATGTTACGTTCTTGTTGAATAAAGCTCCTAATGAGTCACCTTGGCTTACGCTTACGACAGTCTTTATTTACTTTACTCACAGTCAATCTTCTTTGCAATCTCTGGCTGAGTCGGTGGTTCACCAAGCATCAAAATTATTCATGAGGTTATTTCCACGAACTTTCTCGCCATTTGTCTTTTAAGAGACTGAGGAATCTTACGATGATAATCTCATGGCGCTGTAGAAATGTTAATTAAGAGTGGCCATAAATAAATTGTGGTAGTCTGTACCCGTCCTGCTACCGCGAGGCTCACGTGATGGGTGAGATGGAGCATGTGGCATCTGCCATATGGCACCTGCCATGTGGCATCTGCCAGCGCCTTGCATCACCATTCAGCGCTTGCATCATTCAGCGCCTTGCATCATCATTCAGTGCCTTGCATCATCATTCAGCGCCAATTGCATCATCATTCAGCGCCTTGCATCATCATTCAGCGCCTTGCATCATCATTCAGCGCCAATTGCATCATCATTCAGCGCCTTGCATCATCATTCAGCGCCTTGCATCATCATTCAGCGCCTTGCATCATCATTCAGCAAGGGCCCCGCAGCACCATAGAGGGCCCCGCAGCACCATGCAGGGCACCGCAACACTAACTAATACAGGGCCTCGCAGAAACATCCGTGACCTCGCTCGTATCGCTATATAGTTGAAACTTACGTCACTCTTCAACTTGTTCTTATTTCATTCATCACCTTGTAATATCATCACCTGGAAGAATTTTTTTCGATTTTTCGTCCCCTTTTTCATAGTTCCTCCCAAATCCTTACAAGTCTATCCCTTTCATCACATAATTTCATCCATTCTTCAACTTTTGTTTCAACCATCCCGCACCCCACTCACCCCGCAGCATTCCCGACGCAGCAAGCGTCAGCCACCCACCGGCATGGCTGAGGCTGACATCATCCTCCGTATGTGGCGAGCGACGCTGCAACGCCTTGTCTGGCTCGCTGCTGGCTTTGCTGTTAGGTTTGCTGTTAGCTTTGCTGTTAGGTTAGAGCCAGCTTTGCTGTTAGCTTAGAGCCAGCTTTGCTGTTAGCTTAGAGCCAGCTTTGCTGTTAGGTTAGAGCCAGCTTTGCTGTTAGGTTAGAGCCAGCTTTGCTGTTAGGTTAGAGCCAGCTTTGCTGTTAGGATTGCTGCCAGCTTTGCTGTTAGGATTGCTGCCAGCTTTGCTGTTAGGTTTGCTGCCAGCTTTGCTGTTATGCTTGAGTCCCCACAGTCGGTATCTTATTTGTATGGTCGGATTAGGGTTATCTCATGTTGGGTAATCACATTCAAATGTCAGCGCTCCCCAGAAACTATTTTGAATTCATTTCATGAGCGGTGCGTCAGTAGAAATGCGAGCGTCTAGCCCTGATCGACGTAGCTCAATATAATAAAGTATTACGTGATTATGACGCAATCCTTGCTTCAACACGCGTGCCTGGATTCTTACGCATTTCCTGCGACCCATGTGACGTCACGCGCATGAGCGCATAGTGACGTCATAGAAAGGCGTTGAAATTTTATAATTTTTCATCATATTATCAATTGGCAATTAAAATTCTTGTCATTTTAATTGTAAGTTCTTCAAAAATATATATCTGAAATTTAAAACGCAAGCTACTCTGACTACTCATTGAAATTTCCCACACAATTTGGTAAATTTCCAAGCGAGTTGTTGCAAAAAAAGTGTTTTCCATGTTTGTCAAGAATTTTGATTGAAATACCTGCAAACCAGGCATGTTTTTCAATCGGATTAGCAATACGGATTGCTGTGTTGGAAAGCGGGAACTGGCCTGGAGCGGTGCTTAGCCTTCGAGTTTAGTTTTTCATTTCAAGTCTTCGTTTTTTTCGGTTTCGCACGACCAACGTTTCCCGTTGTATTTTGTGTTTACGAGTCACGAAGAAAGTTTACAGCTCCTTCATGTCAGTTCTCAGTTGGCCTGAAACATTTTTGCATTCAAATGATGGTCTTAACATCTGTATTCGTAATATATTTCCTATTAGGAATTTTTTAAAAATGAAGTAAATGAAACATCCCCTTTTGTATTTTGAATTATTCTATTGAAAACTAGAATAATTCAAAGTCAGTATTCAAATTTAATACTGAAAACTTGAATTGTTGTTATTATCCAGATCATGTATGCCGTAATTGTGCGTTACTATTTCGCTAGCATAATGAAAACGAACAAATTAAGCGTATACGTACATACCGTTTGTTCTTTTGCTGCATGGTTGGTCACAATCAACGTGCCAAGAGAACTAGCATTGATACTATCTGATATTATATTATCAGTTGATTGCATGCGTATCACTCGAGGTGGATATTTGAAATCCTTTTATTGAAACAATAGTGAAGCTATAATTCTGCGGAGACTAACTCATATCACGTTAAAATCGCTCGGTGCCTGCTATATATTAGTCTCGCTAATTTCGATCAGGTACGAGGTTTCCAGTCTCCTTATATGGAAGCGTAAGGCCATGGACTTCTTTCAAGGCGAATATGGCGGAAAATTGTATACGTACTGGAGGAAATATCCTATTAACAGCTACATACGCAACACCTCATGAATTAGTTTATAATTGATCTCATGACTGATATTGGGAAAAGTGAGAAATGGAATAAAAGACTGAGCACGATTCATAAGAAATTGTTTTAAATTATCGAAAGCCAGAAGAAAAAATTTCGATCATGCAGTTAGTCAAAAACTACATACTGATGTATTAACCTCGCATCCTTCTATTAGATTTGTTTCAAAATTTTAATTTTTGTATCCAGTTTTTCAAATTTCAAATTTTTAAACATCTTTTCGATTGTCTAACACCAAAAGGGCAACGAATTTTTCTTTCACGTTCGCATAAAATTTGTTTCAAAATTTAAATTTTTGTATCCAGTTTTCAAATTTCAAAGTTTTAAATATATTTTCGATTGTCTAAAATTAAAGAACTACGAATATTTCTTTACCTAACACAATATTATTTACCGAATTTTTTCGGCAGGAGAGGTCTTGGAGTACGAGACTGGCGATGAGAAGTCGTACAAATTCCTTCCCTTGTTTGGCAACACCTTGAGGTGAGTCTTAAATTACTTTGCAACTATTAATAATAGCATTAGAAATAAAAAAAATAATCGGCTCGAGCTATAAAAAATGTTTCTTACATCTGAAGCAGCAATAGGAATTAGAAAAATCTGTCATAAACCAGCTGGAGCGAAATCGGAAGTTTATAATGAGCTGCTCTGAGAAAAAAAAAATCAGGAATTAAACAGTGCTGATTTATTTATGTTCGTTACTGTTGATAGTTCCACATAAGATGTGGTTGAAATTCCATATCCTAGGACAATCATTCATGCATAATGTGAGACTTCTGGTCCCAATTACGAGCGAGTTTATTACAGTTTCTATATAATTAATGAAAAAAGATATTTCGTTTGCATATTAGCATTGCTTTATTTTGCCAACATTCTTTGCTAAAGTTTTCCCACTGTATTATTTATTACATATGTATTACTCAGCTCTTATTTGTAATAATAATTTCCTTCAGGCTGTGGTAGATTGGGATGTAGTAGTCCCGTTGATTCCAACTGTTACTTCGTACTTCTTGATTATATAAATTTATTTAGGCATTTTACCGCATTAGTAAACAAGCTAATTAATATTTATAGTAAGTACATTGTAAATTTCTTGTTGGCTGAAAATAATGTGTTTCATTGAGCGGCTGAGATCCACAAGTTCAGGGTTGCGTGAGGGCAAGCGAGTCTCAGACATTTTGCTCTATAATATAGCCGTGAAGTTTCCCGAGATATGTTATACAATCATTCGAAGTCTGATCAATGATTTCGCTGATACCGGAAACAAACGATCTAGTACACTGCAGTCAAGTTGCAATTTTTACAATTATTTCTGTTAATAAATTAGAAGATTTCGTTGTTGTTGATCACAAATGTCCACGTTTTGTTTTCTTCCAACCTCAAATGAACGTTCTCTAAGGAAAAGTTAAGGTCATATGTCACACTTTACTTCATGCCTTCTAAGAAAGGCTCCGGGATATTTATATTTATTCTAAATATGAGTAAGTGCAAATTTTACTAAAATATTATGACCCGACATAATACAAAATTCTTTGTAAGGTTCTCGGTGAAGGCAGCGCACGACTGCCACTTGGCCTTCACTCGAGGCACCGCGGAGAGCGAGCCCATGTTCGAGGTCTTCATCGGGGCCTGGTCGGGAGAGGCTTCCGCCATCCGCTTCAATAAAGGTGATATTTCTTCGTCGAATTTAACTGGACTAGAATAATTGACATAGGGGATAATTTTTAATTCGGTTCATAACATTTATTTTTATCCCGCTTCAATAAAGGTGACATTTCTTCGTCTAATTCAACTGAAATAAAATAATTCATATATGTGATACTTTTTAATTCGGTACACAACATTGATTTTTATACCGCTCCAATGCAGGTGATATTTCTTCGTCTAATTTAACTGTACTAAAATAATTCATATATGTTAAACTTTTTAATTCGGTTCACTACATTGATTTTTATGTTATATTGAAATGTGAAGTCTGGTGTCTGTAAGTATTGTTCTGAACTAAAAGTTTTTATTGTCCTAGACTAAAAGTATTTTTTTCTTTTATCAATTATATCCGGCATTTTAATCGTAACCTCTCGATAATCTAAACGAAATAATCTCAAAGTCTAAACCCTGATGTGCTAACAAATCACTGAACCCAATGTATTTTGTATTATTATTAGTATTATTAGGAATACGGACTTTCGTTTTAGGTAATTATTGTAAAAAAAGACATCTCTTGTCGCGTATCAAAAATATTCATGATATTATTGAATATTATTCTTCACTTAAACAGCAATAAATTATTTTGTGTTCCACCTTTGATTTCTTTTCAACATTTGTTATATTATAACCTAGGTTTATTTTGATAGTACGCGAAAAAAACTGTATAAACCTGTTATTTCAGGAGAAGATTTGGCTAAAGTCGACACTCCCGAGATTTTGAACGATGGTGAATTTCGTGAATTTTGGGTGACGCGCGTGGGGAAGGCCGTGAGCGTGGGCAAGGGGGGCGACTCCGACCCCTTCCTGCAGGCTGAGCTCCCTGAACTCGTGTGTAGCACTCACTTCGGGTACTCTACTGGGTACGGTGCTACCGGTACCTTCCACTTCTACAGTGAGTGTTTCTTATGGTGCTACTGGTACCTTCCACTTCTACAGTGAGTTTTTCTTACGGTGCTACCGGTACCTTCCACTTCTACAGTGAGTTTTTCTTACGGTGCTACCGGTACCTTCCACTTCTACAGTGAGTACTTCTTAAGGTGCTACTGGTACCTTCCACTTCTACAGTGAGTGCTACTTATGGTGCTACCGGTACCTTCCACTTCTACAGTGAGTACTTCTTAAGGTGCTACTGGTACAGCTACTGGTACCTTCCACTTCTACAGTGAGTGCTTCTTATGGTGCTACTGGTACCTTCCACTTCTACAGGGAGTGCTTCTTAGAAACATGGCCCGACTGTTCAGACTTTTTCAATTTCAATAAAAAATGTATCGTGCATAAGAGTTACAATGTCTCAATGATTTGTATCATCAAAAAGTATATAAAATATTATTTTTAGTGCAGAATAAAAAGTGCGGTCGTAACATTTTCAATGTTGACGAAAATAGTCCCTTGTGTTTGCCAATGTTGATGAAAATCGTGTCATGTCCAGCGTAAATTTAGTTCCACTTGGAACTATCGATCTTTCTAAGGATTTTTTATTATTCAAGTTTGATGATTTTGATTTGACATTTGTTCAGAATTAATAATTGTTTTCAAAGACTACACAAATGACCTCTAAGAACAAAGTGAATAAGTTTTTCTGACACCGTTAAGTATTGGATCGGCTAATGTTACGATTTATTATCAGACTTCATTGTACTGCATTTGTAAATAAGCTTCTGAAACCTTGAAAGGGCCTGAAACTTATTCTACTTGCTTGAGCCTTTTTTAGCGCATTTTCTGATTTATGGAATAAAGGCGCTATTGTGCTCGTCATGTCCGTCTGTCTGTCTGTCCGTGACTACGTTTTTGTCGACGAGAAAATGCGCTCACTGTCACTCACTGCAGTGAGTACTGAGTTATATTTTTTGTATTATTGACACGTCTCGCATAATTAACATATTGATATTCATATAATTATCATTATTAACATTATTATTCATATAATTAAAGTGATTTTAATAGCTTGAAAATCTTGCAGGCGAGACGCCTATCCACAAGACCGGAGACGAGAAGCAGTACAGGTTCAGACCTTTCCACGGCAAGACGCTCAGGTGAGACTTTATCTCGTAGATTTCCTACGAATAAACATGATATTGATACCAATTTCTTATAATACCTTTCAATATTTTTTAAATATTCTTCACTAATTATCATAGTCATTCATAACCTCTTAATTACCTCACCTCAATTCGCCTCCCACTGTAATTTTCTCGGCAATCTCTGTGATTGGCTCACCTACGCATTCCTCGTGAATCTTCTTGTGACCTTATGGTAAGTTCGGGACTTCCTAGTCCCAGGTCACGCTGATGCGCCGCCTTCGTCGTTCTCCGTCTCCGAGTCGTCGCTAGGCAGGTCACCCCGCCCTCGGGTCCCGGATGTAACGTTGGACGTGTTCCGTCTATTTGCCCTCCTTTGTGCCAGCTGGCCAGCTGATGCAAGATGCTGTTGCTTGTCACTTGCTGGGGGTAGTTTCCTATTTCTGGACAATACCTCGCATACTTCTTGTCCAGTTATGGGAATCTTAAAAACTCCTCGCATACCTCTTGAATCTCCTCGCATACCTCCTTCCGTCCTAAAATCCCACCGTTCATCACCGTCTTGATTTCCCAGCATCTAACACACCTGCAATTCAGGACCAAGCCTGCATATCAGCCGATATTTTCATGACAGCCGATGTATGTGAACAGGTTCATGACAGCCGATGTATGTGAACAGGTTCATGACAGCCGATGTATGTGAACAGGTTCATGACAGCCGATGTATGTGAACAGGTTCATGACAGCCGATGTATGTGAACAGGTTCATGACAGCCGATGTATGTGAACAGGTTCATGACAGCCGATGTATGTGAACAGGTTCATGACAGCCGATGTATGTGAACAGGTTCATGACAGCCGATGTATGTGAACAGGTTCATGACAGCCGATGTATGTGAACAGGTTCATGACAGCCGATGTATGTGAACAGGTTCATGACAGCCGATGTATGTGAACAGGTTCATGACAGCCGATGTATGTGAACAGGTTCATGACAGCCGATGTATGTGAACAGGTTCATGACAGCCGATGTATGTGAACAGGTTCATGACAGCCGATGTATGTGAACAGGTTCATGACAGCCGATGNTATGTTCCCTGCAACATGCATGCATTGCAGGGAACATATAATTCAGGGAACATATAATGCAGGGAACATATAATGCAGGGAACATATAATAATATGTTCCCTGCAACATGCATGCATTGCAGGGAACATATAATAATAATAATTCAAATGCATTGCAGGGAACAACATCGCTAAGGAGAGCACGTCAGGCATCATCAGTGCGTCGGAGTTCCGCGAGTTCTGGGTGGCGACGGACCACGATGAAGTCCGCGTCGGTCGTGGCGGCGAGTACGAGCCCTTCATGTCCGCGGTCCTGCCCGAACCCGTGGCCACGTCGCACTTCGGCTTCTCCACGGGCCATGGAGCAACGGGCGACTTTATATTTTTCCGTATGTTACTTTTTGACTGTTCTAGGTTCAGATTTTGGGTGGAGGCATCTTCAATGGTTTACGTGTAACTGCAGTAGTTATGTGACATTTCCTCTCTACTACATGTTGATATTACAATGTATAACTTCTTCAATCCCACCCGACATTTCATTGCAATAACCTTTCCTCTCACTTTGCATTAATTATCCAATAGGCATTATCCTGCATAACCCTTCCTCTCCCCATGACATAACACCGCATTACCTATCCATTAGTCCATAACATGGCACTGCATAACCCTTCCTTTCCCCATGACATAACACCGCATTATCTATCCATTAGTCCATTACATGGCATTGCATATCCTTTCCTCTTCCCCCATGATACTATGCTTTCCCTATCCACTACCACTTCATGTTGCACTGAAATCCTTTGCCCCTTGACATTACACTACATAACTTTACCACTTCACATTGACCATACATAACAAAACATTTCTTCTCACATTACATAGCATAGCCTCTCGTTCACTCCATGATTTTACGTCTCGACACCCTCCGTCCACTCCATGATTTTACGCTGCATAACCTCTTCACTTCCCCTTGTCTTATCACAATTTTCTCGTCTCTGTACAGACGAACGTGCGGCAGCTACGGAGAACAAGTTGCAGTACAACTTCGAGCCGCTCTACGGCGACACCTTCACCTTCAGTGTGGCGTGCGACCACGACGCTCATCTAGGCTTCACCACCGCCCCTGCCGAGACGCCGCTCATGTACGAGGTCTTCATCGGGGGCTGGGAGAACCAGCACAGCGCCATCAGGAAGAGCAAAGGTAAGGGGGGATGGCCTTCACGAGTGACGGGAGTAACGGTGGTTGGTTAGGAGATTATGGTTGTATGGGAGATGATGGATGCATGTGAGATGATGGTTGCATGTGAGATTATGGTTGCATGGAAGATTATGGTTGCATGGGAGATTATGGTTGCATGGGAGATGATGGAGAGATGATGGTTGCATGTGAGATGATGGTTGCATGTGAGATGATGGTTGCATGGGACACATGGTTGGTGATATGATGGTTTCAAGGGAGACAAATCAAGATCAAGGCGAAATGGAGTATGGTTGGTTAAAAGACACATCGCAGCTCCATTAATGAAGATGTGCAAGAATGAGAGAGGATGCGGGTGCCACTCAAGATAATGTGAGGCGATGGTGGAAAAGCTGATGGAGAAGAGCTGGTAATGAGGACCATCGCAGCGCCATTAGAGAGAGCAAGGATGCAGAGAGATAGTGATAACATTATAGCCTGCGTTATAATGAGGAGCGAATTGGAAGAGATGTAGTCGGAGGAACCAGCCCAGCACCATTATAAAGAGCAAGTGTGGGGATTGAGATTGATGGTGACGGCAATGACGATTCCCCTTTTTAAAAAATGTGCGAAAATTTGCATCGTTGTGCTTCGTAAAACTGGAAAGACACGGTATTAAATTATTTTTCCAGAGACAACGGTGGTGAAAGTTGAGACTCCGGATGAGTGTTGTGGAGAGAAAACCTACTGGGTGAACCTGCGAGGTGGGCATGTGAGAGTGGGGCGGGCTGGCGAGTCAGAGCCGTTCATGGAGTGGCAGGACCCAGAACCCTTTAAGGTGAGTACCTACGTTTTAATTATCCAAAGTTTTCTATAATTTTTTTAATGGGTTCCTACATATTAGTTATCAAAAATTTTCTAAAACTTTTTAAATGGGTACCTACATTTTAGTTATCCAAAATTTTCTAAAAATTTTTAAATTGGTACCTACATTTCAGTTATCGAAAATTTTCTACAATTTTTAAATGGGTAGGTACCTACATTTTAGTTATCCAAAGTTTTCTAAAACTTTTTTAAATGGGTACCTACATTTTAGTTATCCAAAATTTTCTAAAATTCTTTAAATGGGTTCCTATATTTTAGTTATCCAAAATTTTCCTTTCTCATTTAATTTATTAATAAATATTTTATTTATTATATTAATTAAACTAATTAAAATTATTTATTTTATCGTTGCAAGAGTGATTGTTCATGAATCTTTGATTTTTTACCTTTTCGGAGTTAATTTTTGAAACAGATCAGTCGGACCATGAGGGAAATAACTTGTTGAGCTTGGTCTCTAAATTTAATAGTTTTTCCTCGATATTGCATTGTTTCAATATTGGTTTGCCTCATTTTAGTAGAATCGTTAAATTTTCTCATAGGTTTAATTTTCAACGTAGTTAAATCATTACTCGACTGGAACTTTATTTTTTATGCTATATGTTTCGATGTTCAGGTGACTCACGTGGGCTACTGTACCGGCTGGGGAGCCTGTGGCCAGTGGAAGTTGAACGTTTGAATGTTTTCAATATTCACACTTTCTTCCGAGTAAAATAATTGTTGCAGCAAAAGCATCACCAACAGCACTACAGTAAAAACGGCTCCAAAGCTGGCTGCAGTACTCGACTCAGCGGCTGAAAGGACGTTATCAATACTACAATTTAGAAAAATAAATTATACTCTAGCAAATTGAATAATATCACACAGAAAATCACGAATTTCTCGTTGTTACTTAATGTTTAGTTGTAGATTAGTGCATAATGAATCTTGCCTTAAAGTTCGTTAGTAAATTTTTCGTTGTCAATTAGGTTAATGATTAGTAAACACCTCATTTATTACCAAATACTAATTTCTAACTAAGTTGTCTTACAAACATTTTGGTATTGACAGCGATAACGAATTTTGTAACACCTTGTCATGTCAATGTCTCTTCAGGTATAATCGCCTTTCCAACGTTAGCGTTTTTTCAACTGTAACACATTTTACATTGTAGCTCCTTTTCATTAATACTTTTATACGATCAAAATACCCTCTCATAGTTAATGTATCTTATGATGCTAACGACATTTACAATATCTGATGGAAGCTATCAATCACCTATCTTTTCAGAAGAGTTCATTATGCCGCCCTGTTGATGGGTGGGGGGGAAGGGGAGTCCCATATTAAAATTTACCTTTTCAAAAATTTTTAATTGCCCTAACTGATTTCAAAGATATTTTGACTAAATTCAGCAGAATTTTAAAGTTCTGTGTGAATCTTGTTTCTGTGCCACTCGGCTGCGTAATGTCATACACTGCGATGGCGCTGGTAAAGTTTTATTTGTTTTCACTCGGTGAAGTGTGATCGAGGAGTTCCGCCCACTACGTACGTACCTTGAACTGAGGTGTGGTTCTTGCATGCTGCGCAATTATGTTCGTTTGTATGTGGCATATGTGAAGAAAGCTGTCCAACAGATGAAATTAAGTTTACAGCCATTAGTGGCCCTCTAGTTTCCACACAGAATTTTGTGTGGTGTTTTTAGCGCATTTTCTCATTTATGGAAAAAATGCAATATTTTGCTCGCCATGTCCGTCTGTCCGTCCGTGACCACGGTTTCGCCGATGAAAAAATGCGCTCTCATTCACTCACTGCAGTGAGTAGTGACATATTTTTTATTTCTAGGTTCAGCATTTTGAACTTCAACACAGGGCACCGACCTGAAGGGGCTGGGTTTCCACTTGGCTTTATAATTATCATATTGTAATTGCAACTCTTCCTTTAGACAATGTAATTCTTGCTCTTTACCGTTGGGCGAGAGTATCCTATAGGCTTTACCTCAGTAGCTTGCACACGATCTTACGATACACCCAGTAGTAGAGCAGAGGCTCCTAATCAGGATATGAAACGACATCGAATTCATGTGCTTTATTCCCAGTGATTATTATAATAAATAAATATTTGAATTCTAAAGTGTATGAAGCAGCGAGTTCTTGGAGCAAGTAGTTGTGAAGATAGTAGTATTTTAACAAAATCTCAGTTTAGACATTATCAGAGAGAAACATTTCTTACACAACTTGATCAGCTCAAAACCTGCAAATGACAATTCTGCTTTAACTATTTCTATACGTGCAAAATTTATTTTATAAAATCACCGTAAAACTCCAGTTACAAACGGCCAACAATTGAAAATTGTTGAGTTAACGATAACTCAAAGAAAATTTTCCCGCGATTGGGCCTGATGAGTGCAACTGAAACTCTAATTTTGGAGATCAAAAATTGCTTATGATAATTCATCGCAGGGGCCATAAAATATTGCCCTGTCAGGAACAATTTTCAAAGGACGGTTTCTATGCTTAAATATGACTGATTTAACTCAAGAGATTACGGTAATTATTCCAAGTATAAAATAATCGCTAACAATTCAGCTAGTGAGTGATATAGAATTATTCCTGTGACTTTACTTACATGCATAAATGCACACTCTATTTCCCGTCTACGCTGATAGGCATTAGCGTTATGTTTTTCAGCTCATACATTGGATTTGTTCTTCTTTGGCGACCCTCTTCAGTTCCATCATCGGCATCAAAATCATCATCCCCGATAAGCGCTGTCCTCAAACGGTTGATGACTCTTTTTGGAGGAAGTTTTAAGCCTTCGACGTTTTCGTAAGGATCATCACTATCTCTGGGCTTGTACTTGTTATAACGCGATGCGGCATATCGTACACCGTACTGACTTGGAGCAATCATGACTCGTAAAAAATCTGCAAAAACAATCATAAAATCTTCTTGAAAACCTTCAGTGAGGAAAAAAGCAGCGCAAGCCGCGGCGAACGCACGGCCGACGTCGATCGGCTGTGGCGGTCGATTTACGTGCGGTAGGCCGAGTGTGGCCACGCGGTAGGTGGGTGATGGTCGCCGTTTCGGCGTGTCCGGCGGTGATGCGGCGCCGATAGCGGGCAGACGGCGACGTGGGTTGCCAGATAATCGTGTTATCCGCCGTCCTGGATGATAAATGTCATTAAATATAGAAAAGGTTGAAATTATCATCACAGTGGCATTGAAAAAAATGAAGGGATTTTCTCGGCGGCAAGAAATTCATGATACAAAATTACATTAATTATTGGTGCGTGAAGAGATGGTGAAAAATACCAGACAGGCACGCAAGAAATCAACAGAAGCTTCATGTCAAAAACGAAATTGGAGTAGAAAGAACTATAGTTAAGACTTACAGTTTATATTTGTATATTGTGCCTTAATAAATTTTGATTTTTCATGGGGAAAAGTCCAAAGCGATTTCTTTTCTAATAGAGACCAGCAATCAAGAATTACTAACACATTGGAAGATCTTTTTCAAGTTAGTTTAAACTTCATTGGAAAAAATTCTTACTTTTTACGGAAATACGACAATCGAGAGGAAGAAATACATACCAAACATCTATTTGGTGTGAGAAACTTTGCACTAAAAATTAGTCTTTTGTAAATTGTATGCTCTATAACTTCATATTATTCATGATCAAAATTCATGCAAATTGCTAATCATTGCCAGATTATCGGTGGTCATTGGCTGGCCCCCAGTTGAGCCAGTTACTTGTATTTAATTCGTGAAATGATAGAGAATAAGTTATTTCTTATAAAATGTAGTGTCTCTCAAATGCTTTATTTAGAATCTATTTCATAAAATCGATAATGTATCATTCGATGGCTTATTTTAAATATCAGGTGAATAGTTAATCTATAGTGAATTCTTTTAAAAATGTTTTTCTTGTCTTCTTTTAAAAGTTATCTAAGTTGCGCTTTTATAGAAAGTCTCCACAGGAAAGCGAAAACATTATTAATGAAAATTCTGTACAGAAAATTTATAATCAAACTTTGGCCAGACACTTCATTAAAATTATGTCAAAATCAGTTTTGACAAAATTAATGTCAAGTAATGACTTTAATAATGTTGTTAAAATTAGTTTTAACATCATGAGGCAATTGATGCAGGGCATTAATTCACAGCCTTCAATGAAGGATATAGGGCCTTCTAACTACGTATGTGCATTGTGCACTTAACTTATTAAGTACGTCCAATAATTTGATCACAAGCGTTCGATTATTAAATGAGAAATTTTCGTTTAATCAATAAAATAATCCAATTATTGCAGAGATTGAGGGCAAAAGTTCGACGATGAAACTCGCAAATGAGTTTCTTGATAGTCTGGTTCATGGCCGATTTTGAAATCTCACGTAATAATATCAGCTAATTTCTTGCAATATTGTTTCTTTTGTTTTAAGAAGGAAATAATAGCCATTACATCTACATAAAAAATGGAGGACCAATCACATGTTTAAAAATTAAATTACAGTGCAGGTTGAGTGAAAAAAGTGACAAGGGAAGTGATTAAAATGATTATCCAGATTTGCTTCAATTTGGTTTTAGTCGATTTTAAAGCTTTCTTTAAAGGAAAGATTTAGTTTATTCAGTCATTCTTCTTTTAATTTGAATTCCTATCTATGCATTAATTATTACGTACATATTTAGTATATTTCAGAGTTTTCTTCAAGGGAAAGATTTAGTTTATTCAGTCATTCTTCTTTTAATTTAAATTCTTATCTATTCCTATTAAATTATTTACGTAGGGAAAACAGACCGATCAATACCCGCTGACAAAGCACCGAATGGTGCTCAACAATTAATTAAACATTTATTTTTAAATTGAGCTAGGGCTAAATTCTATTATTGATCATTGAACCCTGATTACAAATTAAGTTTTTTTCATAATTGCCTGAGCTGACACTGCATCTTTCTTGCTCATATTTATTTTTCTTTAGTACAATCTGGATATATTTCCTCGTTTAATGCTGTGCATAGATTTACGATTATTTATCTGCAACATTATTCCCGCTGACATCTATTTCGCAGCCACTTCTGTAACAACAGAAGTTGGCATTACTCATTTAAACCATTATTTAATTCTATTAAATGGTAGCTTTCGGTAACTAATTTATTCATTTTATTTAGTTATTTAATTATTTATTAGCAGATCCGGGTGAACATCTAATAATTTTGATTATTATTAATAATTTTATTATTGTTAGCATTTTTATTGGTTATTATCATCGAATGTTATAAATTATTTTAAATCTTATTAGAACCAAAAATCATGCAAAAAAACACACAAAATTTTAAATAAAAAAAAGTAGAAAAACTTTCACGTAAAATTTAGATTTATCTCACACTCAAGCTAATTTTGCAACCTTCGTCAGATTTCGATAGTGCAATAACGACAACAATCGCGACCGAAAGAATTCATGAACAATTCAGTCAAGTGATAAGAAAATTTGGTGATAAAATTCATATTTCGTTTGTACTCACAGGAATTAAAGTGGGCCTATGACGAGGACTCTCCTTCGGGTCCTTCTTAACGAGAAAAAATTGCACCTAGCGATATTTAATTATTTCGAACATAAAATCACTTTTCATACTTAATTGCGATTTATGTTTTTGCGATTGATTGCATTGTATTCGTTTATCAAGAGCTTGAATTAAATAACGCTAGTGAAAGTCCCACTGCTTACAGAGACTCAGTATACATTAGAGAATGACTTTGAAACTAGTAATATTCTTACATAGATAAGCATGCCATTAACTTTTATCATTGTAATGTGCCTAAAATGAACGGTTGCCCTTCAGCCAAAACAACGCGAGCGCACAGGCCTCTGGATGGAGTCAGTTACAATTGAATGCATTCATGGAAAACTTATGAATATAACTTTGAATTTTCAGCGTAAATTAAGTTATTGTTGTTTAATTTTTCATTATAATTGAATGCATTTATAGATTATTAGTTTAATTACTTATTAGTTTAACTTCGAATTTTCAACGTAAATTCAGCTACTGTGTTTTAATTTTTCATCTTTTTACTGCAATTTGATGCTATGTTTTTCTTCCTTCAAATACTTGTTAAAGTTAGGGTTCAATTGTTAGGTCACGGATGCATAACAATTTCATTGAATTTAACTACTTTAAGAATATCATATCGATATTATTGCTTCTAGAATATATTTGAAATCGTAAAAATTTTCTGATCGAATTCGGAAGAAAATTCCTTTGTTTCATATAAAAAAGGATTTTTAATTTGTTACGTAAAATTGGTACTTTTTCATTTTCTATTAGTTCCTTGACCAAATGAAATTAATATCTCATAAAAAAAAAAATAACAAAATCTCATGATTTACTGCTGTTGGTTTTTCCAACCGTAAAAATTTGCACTTCTTGCAAGTAAAAATTTTACCCTCGCCTTATTTCAAATACTTGGCATTTACTCCATACGCTGACAATACTGATTGTAATTCATTTTATTTCATTTTCAGTTATTTCTCAGTTGTAAATTATTAACGCTTTCTTTTAAATGAAAATGCCTACATATATAAATATATCGATTTGATTACGTATTTAGTATGAATTGATCGGTTTGATTGCATATTTTTTAACATTTGGCATTTATAAATATTTCTTTGCAGCAATCATGTGTATTTGCAAAATTTATTAAATGCGAAGACCAATTTGATACATTGTGTCTTTCAATTTGAATGTCAAAACTGTCGTGTACTTTTGACATTCTTGTTAACTGTTTTATTCAATTGAAATGTTCTTTCTCTGATATTTTTCACACCTCATTTTATCTATCCATTTAGTTCTCTATTCAGTTAAGCAACAGATACAAATAAAAAATATATGATAAATGATGCAGATAAATGATTAAATTCATGACTAACGAACGATTCTTGAATCATTTTGGACTAGGAATCACGTCTATGGTGGATAAAATTCATGGATTTTAGGTGAATATGAGAATTGAATAATAAACGAGTTTTGGAAGTGACATTTTAAATGAATATATGTTCTACTTACTAACTGTACTCCAGCAATAAAATGTTTCACTGTCTTTTTGAGCAGAACGATGAAATAAGATTATTTAATCAACTTCCGATCATAATTCAGGTTGAAATTGCTACATGAAAACAAATGCATTTACCTATTCACTGAGAGTGGGTTCTCATTCAGAGATCTGGCGCTCGACGTGGTTTTGGTTGTGGGCGGATGACCGCAGATGTGGAGGAGGGGAAGATGGCTCAGAATTAGGGGACTTACGATTCTCGGGAGGACTTGATGGTGCATTTGAACGAACCGAATCCCCGTCCTCGTCGTCGTTGTCGTCCGGGGTTTTCTTGCGAACCTGAGAAGCTATGGACGAAGTCTTGAAGAAATACTCGAGGTTTTCGTTGAGCACTCCTTCAGGTTTCTGGAGGTAGGCGCCGTTCAAGTGCTTACGAGGGAACGTAAGCCGTTTGATGCTCATCTGCGTAAGGAAATCATTGAATGCTGAAGCAAAAGTCTGACGGTCGCCTTCACTAATGAAGAAAGAAGCACAAGCAGCGGCGAATATTTGGGTGAAGTCAATGTTTGCCGTAACGGGTGCGGTTGGGAGAGCCGTTGTCGTCGTGGTGGACACGGCCGTGTTGGAGCCGCCCCACGACCGGGAGCCGAGGCGGCGGTCCGTTGCGATTCCGGGAAGTTTGTCCACTGAGGTGGCTCGTCGACCACCAAATTGACCTGAAAAACGGGTGTGTTCAGCTCTGCATGATTACTATATGATTGTCCAATAATAACTATCAAATAACTTTGTTTTCATAAGCATCTGATATACGATAAAACATATCTTTTCGGCAATTACTGGAGTGAGATTTTCTCCAATTACTGGAGTCGTTGTCCGCGCTCTTGAAATAAATGAGATTGCTTGTACACTTAATAAAATTAGTGTTTTGTGGGAATTGATTGGTGGTGTAAGAAAATGTGTGTTTACAACGTCACGAATTTTGATAACCTATGCATTAGGACCACTATATATAACCATCTGAATCGGAGAAAAAAATTATTTTGCAATCATGATTCGAGAGAAAGCATGTAATGTTTTATACAATTTTAGATTATGAATTAGTTTCGAAAACATCAAACATTCGTCGGCTTGAGCGAAAAAAAAAATCATTAGATGGATTGTTTTCACATAACTAAATTTTTCGTTCACACGTGAACATGATTGAAAGGTATAATTCTGTGCACAGTTGAAATGATCTAACCCTAAAATTTTTTGGTTATATAAGTTGATTGTGATAACTTTTAACCTTTACGGGATCCAGATTCTGAACCCCACCGCTCGTTCAGTATTCAGCTTTCAACGTGAATCTACCTTTTACATGCACCGAATACGAATTTACATGCACCGAATTCGAATTTACCTGCACCGAATTAGAATTTACATGCACCGAATGTGAATTTACATGCACCGAATTTACATTGAATCCTGTGCCATCGAAGAACTTACGCTCACCGCACGAACAATAAAGCATGCAAATCGAGAAGACAAGTACCGGGGATTGACCAGGTCACGCACGGTCGTTTAACTCCTCGCTGCGGTATAATTATGCTAGTGATCGATGTTGACCTGAGGACAGGTCATACTGCATAACATGGTCGTCCATATCCATGCACAACTCCTTTCCTTAACTTGTAAGGTGCATGCATAAACCCATGCTCCAACCTTACAAATTCATGCCCAGTTTTGTATTGTAATTTACCGTGCTCATACAACTCATGCAATTAAATTGAGAAGTTTTTATTCGCCATACAGCTGATACATATTAAATCACAGCAAGTTTGAATTTCCACTGATGAATCGATGAAGTAGTCTTCAAATGTCATCAAGTTATATTTGCTGTTGATTTCAATGCAATGCGTGGACCGATAATGTTACACTCCATTCCATCGGAGTTAATTTGTTGAAATCTTAATTTTAGTACTTAATTCTTAATTAATACTTAATACTTAATTTTGTAGTCGTACAAATGATGTAATCTTGAAAATTTTGTAATTTTAACATTTTGCAATCTTGAAAATTTTGCAATCTTAAATATTTTGCAATCATAAAAATTTCGCAATAATAAAAATTTCGTAATCTTGAAAACTTGTAATCTTACTAATGTTGTAACCGTACCAATTTTTTAGCCGTGGTAAGCGTATTAAATTGTAACTGAACTAATTTGGTAACGGTGCTAACGTTGTAACAGTACCGATGTTGTAGCCAAACTAATATTGTAACTTATGAGTGTATGTTATATTCATACATTAATGTTCATGAGTGTATGGTATATTCCATATGTCTACGTATAGAGTGAAGTAGAATTTATTCCTTATTTTTAACGAGATCATTTTTGTAACCGTCTATATCAATATCTTCAGTTACGGAGTAACTTTTTAGCTTATTGCACCAATCTATTCCGAAAATTTTTATTGGTGAAAAGATTTTTGTTGCACGCGCTGTCGCCTAAAAACATAACTTAAATCAATTTTACATATATCGAATATTAATTGGCTAGATAAAAAAACATTTTAAATAACAGAGTAATTATAATATATTAAGACTTGAATGCAGAAGGAAATTCATGAATGAATCTCATTATTTGCGTGGTTAAATTCTCTGAACAAATAAAAAATAAATATAATACAAGTAAATAAAATCACAGAAAGAAAACAGTCACACGAAATTTTCCAAAACTATTTACACGCAAAATAAAGCTTTGAAATTATACATAATTATATTTGTGTCATTTGGCATCGTCTATCCTTGTATGTAATAATGTTAAGCGTACAACGATTTCCGTGTCCCATAAAGATTGTTCTGCGGTCTGCAAAGCTCTGAGATTATTGGGAAAGCGATTAAACTCAATAAATTTAATGCTAAGAAAAATTAAACTAGCTGGCTTGAATTTCTGAGGCGCTAATTCCTATACTAGAAACTAAAAAGATTTCGTGAGTTGTAGCAGATTATTATAGGTTTTATAAGCTGTACAATGCAATGTTTCAAAATGGAACAACAATAATCGAGACAATACACTGTTAGAAAAATGACCGTTAACGGTATTATCGGCGTTTCAGTGGCCGGGCAGCACGTGAAATAAAACACCGTGTCGCCGTTTTTATTCTAAGTTAACACTAAAAATCCCTAAAACCTCTGATAAAAACGGCGAAATAGTTTATTTTCACGGGGCGACCGGCCACTAGAACGCCAGTGGGACCGTTTTTTCACCGTTTTTTCTAACAGTGTAAGATTGATGTACATATTGGACTTTAATATTAGCTTAACAAATTCTTAGTATTTGCTTGACAGGCTTCTTGACTTTTCAAAGAATTGCGTGCAAATTACGCGCAGTAAATAATGTAATGTGAGGTTTATTAAAGACTAATTATTGCAAACAGCGCTGTACGAAACATTCGAAAAATATGTTGGAGTCACGAGCTTCATGTTGCTTAAATTATGAAGATTTAATGAGTGTGCCTCAGTTTAATGGCTTACTAGCATGCGAGCTTAGAGTGCCTGTTGATGGCATCAGAACTGATGAAGATTTTAAAAAAGAATGCTTAGTTGAATGTGTTACATATTGGATGTTGATTGTATAGTAAAATTTTTGACATTTGAAGTTCAACACGAATTTTTGAAACAGTATAAACTTAGTTTAAGGCACGTTAGACGATTTCAATGCAAGTAAAATAAGTCTGAAAAATTTAAATTTATTCATTTAATGTAGATATTTGTTTGATATACCCCGTTTACAACATCAACTTAAATGGAAATGAAATATCGAACCGGTTGGAAGTCTAGTAGCTATTTCAAAATTTCAAACTATCGGCAGCCTTGATAAGATCCGGTCAAATGACACGATTTTAGATGTTCTGTGAACAATTGGCACAAAAAGTTTAAGAATTCGCGACAGGCCCCATCAGGCCTACGCTTCAGCGCCGACATCGCTATGTTATGTTATGTCGAAACTATACGGTCTAACTTAACTATGGGCTTGACAACCAACATACAGACTTTCTCACTTTTTTGCCCGCATCGAACGAATACGAGTATGCTTGAAATCGCAGGTTAAATAACTTTCAAGGGATTTTTTAAATATCTTAAATTACCACAGTGCATTAACTTATTTTACAATTTCATTTTGGATGTCAATAGATAGGAGTTTTTTAAATACGCATACAAATTGATGCTTTAATCTGTTTGTGTTCATTGGACGATTCAAAATTAAATTAACAAGTCAAAATTTGGAGTGTTTATATGAAAAGATTTATGTTTACATTGATATATATTGAATTTTTAGTATTTTTATAACAGGATTATTATTATATTATTATATTAATAGGAATAGTTTATGAGACTATTAATATCCATCTTGGTATGGACAATTTTTTATATTAATTTCACTTGAATCATTGATACGTGAGCTAAAAATAACTTTGACATTTTCTTAGTTATTTTTATTCGTGTAAATTTTTTCCTAGAAGTGCAGGACAAAGAACGTAGTATTTAAGAGCAGTCATTTTTTGATCAGTTTACATTGAGTATTGAATCTGTATTAAATTGATTTGTATTTATATCACGTATTAAATTTGCTCTTCATAGACTGAAGACTCTTCTATTCAAGTATATAATTAACCCTATCAATTTCGAATTTCATTCCCCGAGATCGGGTTGTAATTCGATTGGCGAATATTTAAAGTTATCTCCTATTAAATTTAATAAATTACTATCAATCGTAAATCTACTAATTATGATTATGTTACTATGCTCATTTGGAATAGTAACAATTAAACGATTAAATTAAAACGATTCAGTAATTAAAACGAATTTTACTTAAATAGGATTAAAATAAATAATTTTAATTAAATCAAAATCTCAGTAATTAAAACGATTTTAGTTTTAATTTCTCGATTAAAATGCACCCATAAAACGATTATTAATTATAATTAGGATTAAATTAAATTATTTTAACTAAATCAAAATCTCAGTAACTAAAAGAATTTTTTTTAATATCACGATTAAAATGCACCCACTTCTAAGTTTTGGATTCTGCTTTGCGACTTCCCTCTTCTCTTCGCCCGGCAGTAGCGACGTTGACTCCCTGACGTCGACGCCGTTGTAGAAGTTCACCAACAAGCCCTTCAAGCCGATACTGGACTCCTGCTGCCGGAACTGGTTCATGTCGGCACGCGTGATGTGCTTACGGCTCTTCAACATGATGAATCTCTCCATAGGTGGGATCAACAGGTCGATCTGCACGAGAATTCAACAGGTTGATCAGCGCGAAAATTCACAGGGCGAAAATTCAACAGGTCGATCTCCTTGCAACGTTAACAGTTTGATCTGCACCTGCACTAGTAATCAACCTGTCGATTAGCACGCAAATTCAACAGGTCGATCAGCACGCAAATTCAACAAGTCGATCTACAAGAATAGTTTTGGAGTCAAATAAGAGGTAGATTTCATTTAAATCTATGTGAGAAAATTAGCGGAGAATTCAATAATAGAGGAAACAAAAAAGAAGGTTAGATGGTCTTTTGTTGAATAAAAATAACATAGTTTTTTACTATGTCACAATTAAACGTCCCTTTTTCTATATCATTACATTAACAAATTCAATTTATTATTCGACAAAGTTTCCGAAGAAACAAGGATTCCCATTTTGCACTATTATTTAGGAGATGCATTTCATACCGGAAATAGATCAAAGATATTAGATAATATATCTGCTAAATTAAATTAATTTTAATCTCAGTTTAATATTCTCTTCTGTAAAATATTTGATACGCCGTTAACGATTTTGACCTAATTTATAATTATAAATTTGCTGAAGTTTGTTTTTGGCAAAATAAGGTGTCATTGTTTTAAAACAATTATTTAATTTCCACGATACGTAATTTCCTATTACCGCCCAAGAATTCGGACACATTGTTTAAACAGTTAAATATGAGGTTAGGGATCCGCGGATTTTTTTCTGATATTTACATGAGGTCAGCAATTTTGGTGTCAAATAATTCGGCCTCACATGCGACTGAAATAAATCGTTTTGATGTTATTAAGACGCGGATAAATATTGTGTGGATTCATTTGAACGTATTTTTGCCTGTGTTTATCCAGACACTTCCTGCCAGTAACGTGTTGCGCGTAACACGGTCTTACCTTGAAGTATTTCTCCCTGTGTTTATCCAGACACTTCCTGCCAGTAACGTGTTGCGCGTAACACGGTCTCACCTTGAAGTATTTCTCCCTGTGTTTATCCAGACACTTCCTGCCAGTAACGTGTTGCGCGTAACACGGACTCACCTTGAAGTATTTCTCCCTGTGTTTATCCAGACACTTCCTGCCAGTAACGTGTTGTATTTTATGTTCCTGCAGCTCCTCTGACAGCGCCTGCAGGTAGGGTTCGAGTCCCCTGGCTCCAGTACCGTACAGCTTCTCGTACACCACTCGGCACATGTCGTCCAGAATCTCGTCTGTTGACTTGGTCAAATCCATGATAGCTGGAGTGTGAAGGATCTTTGCTGCTTACCAATAATCATTCATTGTATAAGTATTTTTTCATTTAAATAAAGTGAGGTAAATGAAATTAAAGATAATGAAGTTGTCTTCAAATTTTACGACAGAATTTTTTCATAAAAAATGCATTACTTGTGAGATTTCCTGAGGGAAGAAATAAAAACGTCGAGGGGCGAAAACCATACGAGGAAGGTTTCAGCATTCAAAGAATATATCTAATTCTTAATAAATTAGATCCAAATAAATCTGAATTAACTGCTCGTAACCCACAGTTTATTGCGTATGCGATTAAAATGTTATTTCTATGCAATCACAAACTGAACCAGAATGATATTGCATCCAAACCCGAATTGATATTTTTATCTGGAAAAATTATATGACTGGAAATCAAATAATAATCTGAATCGGAATGCTTTAGTTCAATGTTGTTGTGGTAGGCAACACGACACTGTCAGAATCTGTGGTATATTTATGCGGTTAACTATCCATTACACAATACAAATCAACTAGTATATCCAAAGAAGGTCATTTACATCAGCTTATCTAATTATTGTTAATATACGCACCCAACGCCACCTATAACGTGCCTTGATTTTGGGTAGAGGCCGCGGACTTGGTTATCCTTATATTATTACTATTTACATCAGCTTATCCAATTATTGTTAATATGAGTACCCTACCTACACCACAAAACGTGCCTTGGGTGAGGGCCGCGGCCTTGAGTATCCCTATGTTAATATAAGCAATGAACCTTGACGGAAGTGAGATTGGCCATCACAAGGTCAATGGATATGCGCAGGTCTTAATGTTGTAGGTTGATTTTGTTACAATGCCTCAGGATTTTTGTATAAATTACAGGTTCGTATTTATATATTACAGTTTCGTATTTATAAATTACAGTTTCGTATTTATAAATTACAGTTTCGCATTTATAAATTACATTTACGTATTTATAAATTACAGTTTCGTATTTATAAATTACACTTTAGGGATAATTTAATTCGAATTGCATGATTTTGAAATTTTACCTGTAAATGTTTATGAACTTGCATGATTTGATTACAGTTTTCTTAATCAATCAACGTAGAAAACTAAGGCAAATTAAAATATTATATCGAACAATATGTCACCGAAGTTAAAATAAATTAATTGAATAAAAACTATTTGAACGGGAACAATGCTTAATTTCGACACGTCATGTATAAAAAAAATCAGCACAAATCCTCAAATTCCAGTTCAAATGAATTTATTTTATTATGTTTATCTACTTTTGCATGCTATGAAAAGGGTTACGATCCAGTCACAAATTGCTGGGACGATCGCGTGCTACCAGTTGAACTTCAACCTTCCTTCTTTTGTTAATGTGATGTATTAGTCAGCTGCAGAAGGTAGCAAATCCGCGCATTTGTTATCACAACCTTACACAACTATAGAATTTTTTTTAATTCGTTGACTCTTCCTTCTGACCCTTTTTACTTGTGCCATATAGAGACATTGACTTCTATCAAATACGCTTAATTAACTGCTTTAGCCTACTATGCATGAGCTGAACATAGTTAACTCTAAAAGAATAATGAACTACGACTATGCATGAGCTGAACATAGTTAACTCTAAAAGAATAATGAATGAATAAATAACAAGTGTTTGTGATTCAATTATTGCCCCCATACACCAAAAACAAATTAAATTGAGTGTAATTTTTTGCTTTCTTTGTCACCGTAAGTTCTTAACTTTGCCCCAGTAGCCAACAACAAAAGGCGTCCCTGTTTGTTGCCATCAATCTGACGTGAGTGATTTCCGCGGCACCTTTTGTTTGACTTGACCAGCCATGCTGATGGATATGATTTCCTAATAGCCCTGAAGTAAGTTATTATTTGCTGATTAAAAGAAACTAAGTGTTTTCTTTAGGTCCTCAGCGTCTTTTACTTTGGCGCAGGCATACCAATCATGAGTAAATTAAATGGTTCGAATTTTTCCCAGTCAAGTGTCGGAGTGTTTTGGTGATTCAATTCCAAAATGCCGATTGATGAGCGAATTTTACCAGCAGTATCATCAACTTTCTTAAACTGACCAAATATTTACACCAACTTTTTTATTGTACCAATCACTTGCAAAATTTTTTTGCTTAAGACCACCGACTCATCTGCGTCAATGATGAATCGATTTTTATGCGCACGAATGCAACATTACCGATTATTTAATTAAAAGATGTTAATTTTTAACAGGAACTCTGCTCAACGAAAGCTCCAGCAACACATGATTGTAAAATTAATTCTAATGTAAAAATTTAATTGTTAAAATATATTCCCATTTTCTTTCTCATCCATCAATTTTTTGAAGCTGCATTGTTAAAAAATGGGTGCTAAAGGTCGTTCTTTATTAGGCAATAAAACTGCATGGGGTAAGCAATTAATGATCGAAGAACTTCGATGTGGTCCGTGTTGATACTGTAAGAAATAGCAAATGTTTAGATCATCGGTTTTGAAATTAGGTTAAGTTGTGACAAAATATTTATACACATGCTGTATACACAGTTTATTGCGTCCAACATGAATAATGAGTTTTCATTTTCAAGCTAATTCAGTTATGATCGCTTGCCGTTCGCTTCATGCGTACCGGACTGAACAAATCGGTCCACTCTCGTAATAAGAGAAGAGGCCTTACAGTCCGAGGTCAGACGGATTACCTAATGACTTACGCAGGTCGATTGCGGTTGACTTACGCGTTTATTTGTGGAGTAATTAGAGTGCCTTTGAATAGGAGCGTAACTGGAACTGCTTCGCTGATAACGAGGGTATGGTTCGTGTAAAATTATTCGTGAAGGTATTGTTTCAAGGTGGTTGTAGAGTATTTGATGGAGATTTTTACAGTTTTGTTGATGGCTGTCAAGCATTTGATGCTGGTAGTCATGTCTTTGATGTTGATTCTCGAGCATTTTATACTGAGTGTCAAGTATTTGATGTTCGATGTCAAGTATTTGATGCAGGTTGTCATGTATTTGACGCAGGTTGTTATGTATTTGATGCAGGTTGTTATGTATTTGATGCTGATTGTTATGTATTTGATGCAGGTTGTTTTATATTTGATGCTGGTTTTCATATATTCGATGCAGGTTGTCATGTATTTGATGCTGCATGTAGTCATGTATATGGTGTTGATTCTCGAGCATTCGATGCTGAGTGTCCAGTATTTGATGCAGGTTGTCAAGTATTTGATTCTGGTGTGCAGTATTTGATGCTGGTTGTCAAATATTTGATGAAGGTTTTCACAGTTTGTGATGCTGGTCATCAAGTATTTGAGGATTATGCTTGAATATTTGATGTAGATTGTGACGTATTCGCGGCCAGTTGCCGAAGCAGTTTTGTGGCTGCACATGATAACGAGAAAAAAAGTTTGATTTAATTTGCTTAACACGGTATCAATGATACAACCGAGCTTAGTTTTAATTTATTCGGCATTGCATATCATCTTGAATTGTAATATGCAATTTTTATGAACGCTGGTTAGGGTCAGTCTTAAGCACACTGGTTTCCATTTGCATTTGTGTTGGTATCTTGATTCATCTACTATACCATTGTAAATGATATTATTTATAATATAATAACTATATTATTATAATAGTTATAATATTATGATATAATATATAATATTATTATATAAAATTACTTATAATAAAATTATAACTTTATGTTTATTTATGCATAAAACAATGACTTTAGATCAAATATCACTACAGCACGCAATACAACAAGCTCATTAATGTAATTATGGCTCATTCTTCATGCTTATGTACAAGGCACAGTCATTAAAATATGGTTATTTTCATTTTCGGCACAATGTAAATTCTTAAAGTAAAATTACTTGCACTTGGTAATTCAATGGCAGAAGTCAAAAAAATTTTAACATGCATAGCGGTATAAATATAACTTAAATTGGCAGTATGGTGATAGTGGCACTATTATCCTAAATGGTTCTCAATAAAGATTCTACAACTTATGTTGACCGGTGATCCTCTTAATGACTTTAGGTTTAATGTAAATATTTGTACTTTTTTGAGAATGAGTTATATTGATTGATTGAGAATGAGTTAAACAAGGCTCCTCCTGATTAGGGTAATATATTTATTGTTTTCGATAGACCGGTTTGCTTTAGAGTTTTCCAGTTCTCTTGAACTATGTAGATCTAGCGCGCGGTGTGGTATATAAATTTTATTTAAGAAAATGTGCTAGAAAACTGCTTACTCAATACAAAAGTTTCAAGATTTTGTCTGGCAACCGATCTTTGTGCGGAATCCCTTTTTGATAATTCATTGGTTTCTTGAATTTTACGTTATATACTGTTGAAGGTATTTTCCACTATAATTCAGTGAATAGTTCCACTAATTATGCTTTTATGGATAAACTTCAATAATATTTCACAATGCTTTGAAAAATAGCATAAAAGGATTAGTAATTTACACAATAACTCAAATGTTTTTCAATGATATTTTTCTCTAAAGTTCAATCAATAATGGGCTTATAATGTCGAGTACCGCACCTAGAGCCGCAGCAAGGCTCACCCGACACGTTCAGGTCACGACGTACACTGAGGTCACCGGACCAGCCCTCGGTTAGGATCCCTCAACCGCTCTGGAATGTAGGGCTGCGATATATATAGCAGTGGTACTGTTGTACGGTCGATGGTTAGTGACTCAGACGTGTCGATGTTAAAGTCATGCATCGTAAGACCGGTACTGAAAAAATATTTTTTCAATCGAGTATTGGATTTATAACAAATAGTCGGTAACGCCCGGTCACTCGGTTAATTTATTCCGTCATTGAGTCGATACCCTAATAATTTTGAACTCGAAAAACGTTTCACTTAATGTGATAACTAATATTTTTCAATCATTTCTTTAGGAAGACCGGTCACTTAATAAACTTACCGATAATTATCGTTTTTTTAAGTTTTACCGATAAAATGCAATTGAAAATTCAGTTTATATTTTTTGATTTCGCTTCGGTGAATTGAAGTTGCGTCAAATTGGCGCGAACTTTTTAAGCGATAAAGTTTTTATGCCGTTTAATTTTAGAAAATTCTAGCTATTTGAATAACGAAGCACGATCACTTAAAAAATGACTGTCCTAAAGTGGGGAAGTTAATTTTAACTTATTTATCATAAAATCTATTACAAGAATTTTGTAGGATTTTGCATGGAAGATTTAATGATTACAATTAATCAATTCAAAATCAATAGCTTTCAATCACGCATACCGGAATAATCTAGAAATTTTTTCAATAAATCAAGCATAAAACCAAACTCATTTCCCATTTTTAAGTAGACAGCAAATAGATATGCGAGGTAGGACCTAGAAAAGCACTCACTGGCGTTCGAGTATTGGTGTCCAATAGTAATAAAGTGAGTGCGTGAGGGCACTCATGCTCAAACTCATGCCTGCCACGCCATTGAGTCACGCTCGTCACGGCACTTCACACTCGCCCGGCCAAGAGGTCTCACTGCTGGCTCAAACTTGCCAAGCCAAGAGGATAAGAGGTTTTTCTGCTTACTCAAACTTGAAATGCTAAGAAGGCTCACTAGCAGCTGGTTCAAACTAGTCAGGCAAAGAGGTCTCACTCGCTGCTGGCTCAAAGTTGTGAGGCTAAAAAGGCTCACTAGCTGCTGGCTCAAACTAGTCAGGCAAAGAGGTCTCACTCGCTGCTGGCTCAAAGTTGTGAGGCTAAGAAGTCTCACTAGCTGCTGACTCAAACTTGCTAGTCTAAGAGGTCTCACTAGCTGCTGACTCAAACTTGCTAGTCTAAGAGGTCTCACTAGCTGCTGGCTCAAACTTGTCAGGCTAAAAAGGCTCACTAGCTGCTGACTCAAACTAGTCAGGCAAAGAGGTCTCACTAGCTGCTGGCTCAAACTTGCCAGGCTAAGAGGTCTCACTGAGATGGTTCAAACTTGTCAGCCTAAGAGTTCTCACTAGCTCCTGACTCAAATTTGGCACGCTAGTAGGGCTCTCTAGCTGCTGGCTCAAACTTGCTAGGCTAAGAGGTCTCACCGAGATGGTTTTAATGCAAACAGATATCGTTTTGAAGAATTTATTTAGTTATACATTACGATAATATGCGTTATGAACTACGTTTAAATATCTCAATAAATGCTTGACCTAACAAGAAATTGGTATCACATGCAGCTATGCTAAAACCTTGGAAAAATGTCAAATAATTAACACGAGCAGAACTGTTATTCATTTTGTCGCATTATAATTCCAAAAAAATTTTTACGACATATGTACAGAATTGATCAATAATCTTTTATTGATGTGGTTAAATTATCGAACTAATATCAAGCTGAGTTTGAAATAGTTTAAGCTGAATTGTTTTTTTTTGTTAAAATAAAGTGTGGGTTCAAATGCATATTAATTATTTATCAATTGTACCTTGAATTAATGGTGATATAAGATAATATTTTGGAATTTCAAGCACTAAATTTCATATTTCCGTAATTTAATAAATTCAAGGTCCATACGTCCATATTAAGAATTCTATTACAATAAATAAAACATACACATTGTATTATATCTTTTTAACATTTATTAATTTCAACGGATTTATAAGCTATAGGTATTTAATATCTAGGCACAATTATGTGGAAGACTTGGTAATACTGGAAGCCCAATAGGTACGTTCATCAACGCCCTGGAATTACACAACATTTGTTGACATTACCTATCATTGAACAAACGCTCCTTACTACAGAAAATCATTCGTGAAATTTGAAAGCTTGTATCCCCAATACGCATGAAATATTAAATTACAATACGTTTATCAACGCCATGCAATTAGAACAGTTGGGGTATAGCTAGGAATATAATTTACTTGAATGATTACATTACAAATCGAGTTGGCTGAATATAAGAAGTTTATTCCGGTTATCCACGAGGTTGCTTTGTTGCTTACTTCAATACTCGTTTATTTTTCAGATCACACATTATTCAAATATACGATCTCTACTCATCGGACAGTTTCCCAGCGCATGTAATCGACATTTCACAACTCATGCTCATATTGTACACATGTGACATTTCCATCATTTTATAGATACCCTAAGCGTGACTAGTTTTCCGAAATTCATTCATTTTTGTCAATTTCTTCAAAATTTTAAAATCGTCTCAAGAATTGTTTTCAAGATATTTAAAGTTTTCGAACCTTCATTTAATCCTCTTCTTCCATCAAATCCATCATCTCAAAGATCTTTTTATTGACAGTCTTCCTTCTTGCCTCGTCGCGATGGCTCTGTGCATTCAAATCTAAGTTGGGAAGATGCCCTGATTTTTCTGGCTCACTTGTGCTATTGAAACTTCTGAAGAATTTCTTGTTCATTGAACGTTCATTTGAATCTTCATCCGATGATAGATCATTATTCAGAGCCTTATAATTTGGTTGAATTGAAAATTTGCTTTCATTGTTGGAAAATTGAGATGCCTTAACTCGGTTCTTAGTCACCATGAAATTTCCATCATCAATTGACTCCTGCAATCTTTTTTTGCCTTGTGAGGCCTCCGTGACCCAAACGAAAGAGTCTCCATGAATTATAGTTTCATTTGCCCTCTCAGCCTCAAGGTTTTCGATGCTTCGTTTCGTAAGACTCCTCTTCCTGCGTTTTGGCAGGTTAGTTTCGACGCACAAAACGACCAAAGGATTATCGCAGGATATTTTCTCTTGTGCCAGAAGTTGCATCGACTGCAGACTGGAGGCGTGACCAACCCTCATCGCGGCGGATGACGTCCAAGCGTTGCAGTTGTCGGCCTTCTCACCGCGCCGCGTCGCACCGTGCCAGACGTACTTGTTAGGCCTGTCAATCAATTTTGGTTAGATCAGATGTTTAATACATAAAATTAGTTAAATTCCCGAATCTAGCTTTGATATTTTGATTCATCTCATTGTCCTCACTGTAGCTTATGATAATAATATAACTTATTGCCTAAGCTCTAAAAATATTAAAGAAATTGTGCAAATTGCAATCCTCTGAATTGCGAGAACTTCTCTTCGTGTCTAGCTGCTGTTACCATTAGATTTTTGTAGCTTAAATATTTAGGCTTCGAATTAGAATTTTCCATCAGTTTAACAAAACCGATGTGCCAAAAATATTTTAGATGACTCCTGAATACTCAGTATTAAATAAAAATAAATTACAGCACAAAAACCAAGTGGCATGCACCAAAGACAAGGAGACATACTATGGTACTAAACAATATGAGAACATCGTTCGTCATTTTGCTTTCACGGCAATATACTGGCAACACGAAAACCTTACACTGAAGAACCTCAACAGGTTTAAAAGGGGGAGGCATAGAAGCTTGTACAACGCATGTCACTTGAAGAATTATGAATTGCCAACTAAGGAAAAACTATACTAAATTGCCGGATTATGATTAGCCATAATGTATTGCGAATAAAGATATTTAGATTTACAGATATTTACATAAAGATATTGCTTTACAACATGAGTGTAATATTCCATCTTATCGAACTATTTTCGAGTTTTGCGAAGCTTATTATGATGTTTGCAATTGGCACATTTTACAATTATTGCCAATTCATTGTCATCTCACGGCATGAAATTATATTGAATAAATCAACTCCAGCATCACATAAGTAGGGTAAATCTTGAAAAAAATAATTTGCGGTTTAATCAAAATCGTTTTCTAAACCACCATTGTAAAATCTTTGCACGTAGGAATTTTTCTCTTCCTAAATTAATTTAGGTCAATCACCAGAACAGAATCATCACATGGCACGCAAATTGATGACAATAACTAAAAATTCATTGTATATTATTTGAACTTGTTTCAATAGAATGTTAAGTTCTTGCTCATGCGTCTCTATAAGATCAATGAGTGAAAAAATATAACTCAGTATACTCACTGCAGTGAGTAACAGAAAGCGCATTTTCTCGTCGACGAAAACGTGTAGTCACGGACGTGCAGACAGACGGACAGACAGACGGACGGACATAATAATAATAATAATAATAGTGGTTTCAGTGTTTAGTAGGCCGTAGGCCTGTCGCCGATTCTTAACATCGCAGAACATTCACAGAATTTTGCGGTCTCGAACTCGCAACTCACTGCTCCAATTCTGCTGTGCTCAACCGCCCGGCCTCCTTGCCGATTCTGACCAGAAACTGGAGCACAGAGCTGGGATCGAACCCGCGCCTCTCTGCTCCAATCCTGGTACTCTGAGCTGTAAACACTGGGACACCCTGCCCTTGAAAAATGCACAATAGTGCATTTTTTCCATGTATGAGAAAATGCGCTAAAACATCAATAAATATGCTCACCATCGTTCACTTTCAGCCACGTTTTGACCGTCAAACGAGTAGATCTTCGGCGCCTCCAAGAACAGCCCTCCTGTGAGACTCAAGTCTTGCCATGAGCTTAGGATAGTCTCCCCCTTAAAAGAAAATAATATACTTCTTCAAAATTAACGTATTCTTTTTTATGGTCCAATCATTAAAATTGTATGACTGGATGTTTGCTTCGCTATGGGGAAAGCTCATTTTTTCAAATAATGTATTACTTTTAATTTAAAAATGTAGAATTAAATTAGATGAACCCTTTCGAATTAAGGAAAATCCAATTCGGAAAGGAATAAATTGCTTGATATGATACGTAGGAGCAATGGAAAAACATGAATTTTATTTTTTGTCAGTATCATGGCTAGTCTTGCCAGTCCAATCAGACCACATAGCAAACGATTCACCTGAATTGGATCAAGCCAGGATAAATGTCAACCTATATATAAAGAGAACTTGGGTCATCGAACAAGATGACTTTGGCCAAGATCATTTCAACTGATTGACAACTACAACTATTTCCTAATAAAATAAGTAGCAAAATGAAAGGAAAAGAAAGGCTTGCCAATGAGATATATAAGGATAACGTATTAACATACATTAGGATATTAAAGGAAATCTTCTCTTACCCTGAGGTTGACCAGAGGCAAATTCTGCAGAGTAGATCTGACGAGCGACGTGATACCGGACGAGTCGGCCAGGAATGCTCTAAAAAATTAATTACATTTGAATTAAACACATTCTTGATGAGAATGAATAATCAACATATCAGATTTCGATTTTTTTTGTTCACTTTAACTGCTGAAAGCATGTGTGATAATTTTTATTTTCAGAATAGAGTAGGTATCGTTCCAACATTCTGGTACGCAAGATATCCAAAAGAGGGCAACTATGATATTTCGTTAAAATTAATTTCAGAAACGATTCCAGAAAATAATCGGTCGCTGGAAATATTGCTAGCGACGGTAAACCTGTCATTTGCTGCTGTCAACTAAAACTGATGTGCCGATTATGTGTTGACCCAATTTTATTTTTATACAGTTGATTATATATTTGTCAACAGAAGCAAAACTTTGAAAGGTATAAATTTCAAATTGAAATTTTATGTAAACCATACCTGAAGGATCCAGTCAGCCCTGCAGATCGCGCTTGTCGATAGCACGAAAAATCGGCGGCTTTTTGGCCTTTCATGTCGCCCGACACGGGCTCGTTGAGCGCGGCCACACGGAGGTGCTGTGAAGAGGGAAATTAGTGAGGGTCACACGTAGGAAAGTAGTCTGTAAAGAGGCGTGTATGGGAAGTCTGTACACGTAGGGAAAAAGTCTGTATGGGACGTGTAAGGGAAGTCTGTACATGTAGGGAAAAAGCCTGTAAGGAATTTGTAAGGGAAGTCTGTACACGTAGGAAAATAGTCTGTAAGAGGCGTGTAAGGGAATTCTGTTCACGTAGGGAAAAATTATGTAAGGAATGTTTAAGGGAAGTCTGTACACGTAGGGAAAAAGTATGTAAAGGAAGTGTAAGGGAAGTCCGTACACGTAGGGAAAAAGTCTGTAAGGAATGTGTAAAGGAAGTCTGTACACGTAGGGAAAAAGTCTGTAGGGGGACTGTAAATGAGGGGAAAAACCTGTGATGGAGCTGTGAATGAGGAAGAAAAGCAGTCAGTAATAAGCCTGCGATTAAGAAGAACATCAAGAAAGCTGTAGAAATATTAAATCAGCACCAGGGGGTGAAAATATATAGAAAATCAGTGAGGGATAAGCTATGAATGAGATGAGGGTATAAGAACTGAGGGTAATTGGAGTTGAGTCTGTAAAAATATTTAGGTCCTTGAAAGAAAAAAAGTCATTGAAACTGCTATAAATTAAATGAAAGCTGTTTATTATGAAAAGCTGACTTGAAGTGATAAATAGCACTGGCCAAGTTACGCGTAATAAAAATGTCAAAGTAATATTTTCACGTTTCTTCAATTTCAACTGCCCTCTAATAATCATAAAATGTTACTTATTTCCTTGACATTAGTTTCAAAATTGACCAAGTTATCATACCTCGCCGCTGCTGCTGCCCCAGTTTTCTCCAAGCGGCGTCTGCACATAAAATAATTGAGTTACTCTCCAATTGTAAAATGAAAAATGTTGTAAAAAGGTTGAAAAAAGGTTGTAAAAAGGTTGTAAACATTTAATGCAACAAATGTTATTGCAATTAAATTCAAATCTTATGAGTAAATTGATGCATCATTATTTCCTTCTTTTCGCAAACTGAAAAATATATATATATAAATTTTATATTATTCATTTTTTTCCTCGATTGAAATTTTTTATCATAACAGCAGGTGAAAAAGTTTTTCTCCAAAAGCTGTTCGAAAAAACCGCTTTGTGCAATCTTTATAATAAAAGAATACGTTACCATGCAAGACGACGAAAATACCAAAAAAAAGTTAAACTGAATAAAATAATACATAATGTTGCCTTACTTGTGTTGGCCTCCAGCCGCCCTCGTCAGTTTCGTAGTCAGGGCTCGGTTCAGGCTGGGAAGAGAAATGTCTTGAGATAAATCAAATGAGAAATGATTTCTTGAATTAAATGATTTCTTGAGAAATTAAATCCACTTTTTATGTTTGCAAGCAATGTAATCAAAATCATATACTAGTTATGATTATAATAATTTGCTGGCTATCTGATCAAATTCAAGTTGGTTCAAGTCCAGTAATGACGTGCTAAAAATTCGGAATGAAGTTCAACAGGTTATAAGCAAAGAATAGACGGATGACTGTCAATTTGTTCCGTTTCCTTTACATGTGTACGAGATAAACTTTTTAAAATAACTCGGTCTACGAATAAGACTAGCATTTATTAATCATGAAAAATATTCTACGCCGCAAACAAGTTTCTACGCCTTATGGTAACCTCTGAAACGCCTAACATCCTTTGGCTATTAATTCCGGGGTGCTCATGTACCACTACTGTAGCCGGGGTGCTCATGGTTACATGTACCACTACTGTAGCCGGGGTGTTCATGGTTACATGTACCACTACTGTAGCCGGGATGTTCATGGTTACATGTACCACTACTACTCACGCCGGGGTGCTCATGGTATGTGTGATCGTGGTTGTACGACTGATGGCCGTAGTCGCTACGGTCGCGACTGTCGTAGAAGTAATCTTGTCCAAGAGGAAGTCGAGTATCGGTGTCCATGCTCGAACCGTGACCGTTGCCGGGCGAACCGTGGCCGTTACGACCGGATCCATGCCCGTTGTGACCGGAACCGTGCTTGCTGTGACCGGAACCGTGACCGTTGTGACGTTCGTGAGAAGTGCGATCATGGTGGGAAGTCGGCTGAAAATCAAAGAAAATTCCGAGCAATAATTATAAAATATTATCTCTATTTTTAGCGGCTCATGTTGTATATAGAGATAGCAAAGGTTATCTTAATCACATTGTATCTTAATTGTAATAATGTTAACAATACTATATTCTAATTAATCTTGTTGAAAAATCGCTTTCTTAGTTTATATATATTGAAATTTTCATGTCATACATTCAAGTCAGCCTTGTTTATGACAGATGTATAATATTTTCAGCGAATTTAGAGATCGCGAAGGCCTTTAATGAAATGAGATATAACTAAATTTAATTAAATCTAAAAGAAAATATTATAACTATTTACCTGATGCTCATGGACGTTTGGTGGGCCTCGTTGGTTGATATTCCTCTGTCATCATTAAAGATAAAAATCAGGCAACAAATCAATCAAATTATTCCATTTATTATCCCAAAAAAGCTTTATTAAATTGAAAAATTTTGCTTTTGTTTTTCTTTTATTATCAAAAAATCTTAAATCATTGTTCAAGATCCAATATCATGGTTTTTAGCAAATTGTAATGAAACTACCTTGTAAAAATATTGATTTACTTACGACGATATCTCAGTCTAATAGTCTACGAAAATGAGGATGCAGTGTTTATTAATATTAATTGAAAAGAAATTAGATTATAATCCTTTGTGCTTACACCCATACATTACAAAATTATTAATGTGTTGCAATTAAAAATACTAAATTTTCATATTCAATACTTAAATTCAATAGATGCATAATATTCGCACTCACGTCTTTGCTCTGTATCATCGGGTCTCCCCATGGACTTGGTTGCTGCTCAAAAAGTTTTATAACAAAAGAAATTCTGTCTTAACACGAAGCAATATACGAAAATTGCAATTTTAGCTCGCCCGGAAAATTTTCTGTTCATACAATTCAGAACTTATAGGCTAGGTCTGCGCAAATTAGAAAGAATTTGCGTAGACTAAGAAAGAAAGCGAACTAATTAAGGTAAAAAGGCCATTTAGAATAGGAACTTCAGCTTATTTTCCGCGTTCCAAATTTTCATTGGGTCCAAAAATGTGACCTTCAAAATTGATTCACTAATTTCATTAAAAATCATGTTTTTAATATTTTTTATCATCAATGGTAAATTTTTTAATATGTGTTGATTAGTTTGGAACTTTTATAAGCTACGGAAACTATACTTGATCACCGGACATACACCTGCAATTTGGTAATAATCAAGTATTATTTGATGATAAATTTCTAATCAATGTTAATCTTTATCTTAATTCTTAATCTGTTTATTTCGGGAATTTGGTTTAATGGTAAATGTGGAAGTTCATGGAACCGACGAAATATATGTCTTTTGTTTAAATTTATTGGATCCGCGAAAATTCATCCTACATACCTACACACACACGCATGCAAATGTGTTTAAAATTTAGAACTATTATTTTGAACTCAATTTTTTCTCATATTATCTATTATTAACTAATTCTAAATCATTTGATTTCATTCTGTATATTTAATTAATTAATATTTAATATAATATTTAATTTAATATAATATAATATTTAATTTATACTTAACTTAAAAAGTTCTCTAGACGTAGCAATCTAAATCTACCCCCTTGCCTGCTTCACTTGCAAGGCATACTTGTCTGTTAATTGAACTACTCGCCTTGTGATGGTGACTCCATGATAATGATTATTGAGTATTTTATTCAATTGCGAACTGCATTAATACCATTTTTATTAGTGCAAAACTGTTCATGCGGCCGTAATATAAGTATTAACTGTTCATGCTGCCGTAATATAAATTTACAGACAAACGACAGCTGAAAGGGTGAATAAAACCTGGAAATTATTTCTGGCAATAACAGATTGTAGAAAAAAAACGAGAACGTGCCAGTAAAACAAGGAAACTGAACTCCGACGATAAAAGATCAAAAAAGTATAAATGAGAGTAGCAAAAAAATCTTGAAATTCGCTCCAGCAAAATACCAGATTAAAAAAATTATAGAAGAACGTACTTGTAAAATCTGCAAATGCACTCCGGCAATAACATATTGGGGAAAAAAAAACAGAGATGAACGCTGCAGTAAAAACTGTGAATGGTCGCAGGCAGTAAGAAGAATGGCGCGACGGGCGCGCGAATGCTAATACAGCGACGTTAACTTAGCATGAGAACAGCAGAGGAAATAACGCTTCATTTGAGCGCTGCCCTGCTTCCGGTCCTGCTTCCTGTGTGATCTGTGTGATCTGTGTGATCTGTGTGATCTGTGTGATCTGTGTGATCTGTGTGATCTGTGTGATCTGTGTGATCTGTGTGATCTATATTTATAATAATAATATTTTTATCAATATTGATATTATTAAAATAAACCTCATTGCTAAAAATTCAATATAAATTTACACACAATTCCAAACTATAATAACACAAGACCAATATTTAAATTACTCACACGTTATTTATCAACAACGTATGCAAATTTTCGTTCACCTTGTGAATGCAATCGGGTTCATTGCGTTCAGTTTATAAAACTTTTGTATGTTGTTGATCTTATGTGCATTGAAATATATTTATCTAATAACAACAGACTCACCCAGGACGGCTTATTCCTACGGCCGTGCAGGATCTCGGGGACATTCCCCCCCACGGGGGGCAGCGGCCTCATCCCCTGGCTCTCAGAGGCATCAGTCAGCACCGTCCCCAACTGCCGGGGTTATAGGTATTATTGCACGTATACCTATACCTATGTACATAGCCAGCTGCCGGGGGTTATAGGTATTATATTAGATAGATACACCAATATTACCAGCTACCGATAGTTATAAGTATTATATTAGATAAAAACACCTATTACCAGCGACCGATAGTTATAAGTATTATATATGTACACCTATATTACCAGCAGCCGATGGTTATAAGTATTATATTAGATATATACACCTATATTACCAGCTAACGAGGGTTATATTGAACCTGTAACTACCTACATACAGTATACAGGCAGGTGCCGGGGGTTATAGACATTATAATAGATATAATACCTATAGATACACCTATATTACCTGCTACTGAAGGGTATAAGTTTTATTATACCTGTACCTACCAATATAGCCAGCTAATGAGGGTTATAGGTTTTATTGAACCTTTACCTACCTACATATATAGCCAGGTGCCGAGTTTATAGGTACCTATTATATTAGATATATTCACCTATATTACCAGCTAACGATGGTTATAGGTATTATCGTACCTATACCTACCTACATATATAGCCAGCTGCCGGGGGTTATAGACACTTAATAAGATATATACACGCCTATATTACTTAGACCAGTTGCCGAGGATTATAGCTATAATATTACCTATACCTACCTATATTACCTATAACCAGTTGCATAGGGCTATAGATATTATATAACCATCATTTAAGTATGACACCTATTACCAGTTCACGAAGGTTAAAGGTTTTATATTACCTACATAATCAATATTACTTTATATTACTTATTGGCACCTGCCCAGGCCATCGGTTCTACATAATTATTGTTGCACTATATATGTAATACTTGAAAATAAATTATCAAAATGATATTTAATCATTTATCACAGGTAATGAAAATTTATCCCACAGTAAGATTTTTTCATCTGATCAGGCTAAGATTGTAATACTTGAAAAAAAAACATTATAAAAATAATATATAATCATTCATAATTCATAATCATCTCACCATAATTTCTCGCCATCCTCGCGACGTCCTAGCGAACATTGAGTCATCGGCTATCACGTAGGCGAGGCTGCCTACCGAGTACGATGTCCAGTCCTGCTAGTCATAATGTTTCAGTGATATCCGTTATAGAATTTCCTTATTTTAATTACTTAATCCAATGGAAATAAGTGTTATAAATAAGGTGAATATTTTCACTGGGGTTAGAAATAAGGTCCAGGGGAAATATATTTTAGAGGATCTTCTTCTGCGGACGCGGCGTATCAAGTCTTATCAATTATCTGAATGCGATAAGTCAGATAATTATTATTTACCTGAATTGTTATTTGATAATTGTTAGTTATCAGATTATTATTAAATTATTATAATAATTAATAATTATCTGATAATTATTAATTATATTAATTTATAATTAATGCGTTTATAACATTTAAAACTTCAGCACTAATTTCACTTAAAATTAACACTGAGATTAACTTTAACTCTCAGTTAAAGTTAATTAAAGTTAATTTAAGTTAAGTTAAAGTTAAGTTAAGTTAAAGTTCATTGTTTTAACTTCTGATCCATGTGAGAATAGAATTTTTAATGTGATGATAAATATGTCTGCTTGGGCTGAGAATGATCCACTAATTGAAGAATATAAACTTGGCTTAGTTAATAGAATGATAAATTGCAGGCAGAAAAATGCAATTCATGAAATTTAAATCCAAGGCGCAAAATTAGATTAAAGAATTTAAAAATTATGGTATATTTGTCGGATTTATGACATGTTTTCATATGAACATTTTTGTATACATTTTTGTTGAAATTATTTGTTACCTGAATCATGGAAGTGCGCGAAGTGAAGGTTATAGTGGATGAAGTGGTGAGCGGAAGACCATATCCAGCATCAGAACTGATGCCACCTTTGAAAAGTAGTGACATTATTAACCATTTAAACTACGACTGAAGATACCTAACATCTCAGTCAGCGTTTAACTATTGTCTTACCCGCGTCAGTAAGTGCTTAACTATTGTCTTAACATCTTCAGTATGTGCTTAACTGTCTTAACATCTTCAGTAAGTGCTTAACTGTCTTAACATCTTCAGTAAGTGTGTAACTATTGTCTTAACGCCTTCAGTCCGTGCTTAACTACTGTCTCACGATGCTTAACTATTGTCTTAACATCTTCAGTAAGAGCTTAAACTATTATAGTGACATCTTCAGTAAGTGCTTAACTATTATCTTAACATCTTCAGTAAGTGCTTAACTATTGTCTTAACATCTTCAGTAAGTGCTTAACTATTGTCTTAACATCTTCAGTAAGTGCTTAACTATTGTCTTACCAACGTCACTTAACCTTATGAGGCACTTGAGACTGTATAAAACATATAGGACTAGTAAATTTTGTAAATTTCAAAAAAAAAATCCATGAGTTCAATATTCCATTAATCAATTTCTTATAGCAAATTTTAGATGGAATAAGCTGCTGTAATTTCCACCTGTATACTTCAATTTTTTGTAATGCGAACTGTACGTCTCTTACATACCGGGTATTCCAGGAGCTCCCTAAAGGAAAGTGAACATAAGTATTATAAAACAATTTGAATGATTCAAATTGCGAAATTTATTATATTAATCTTTCAGTTCATGCGAAAAATAGTTTTCTACTTGTAATTTCCATCTCTAATGAACGAATAATAAGTTAACGATTTAGGAAGCGAAATCGTAAAGATAAAATTATTGAAAAGAATTTCGTCATTCGTTGTTGATTTAATATTTTCATAAGTATTCATAGTAATTTTTTAAAACACTTATAACTAATATCGTACGTTGTAGAAATGTTTCCTCAACAGCTGGTTCATTAAAAATATTTTAAAAATAATGCACCAGTCCTGCAAATAATAAAGAAAAAATATATTCGCCATCAATTTTGATACCCAAGCCCCAATAAATTTAGTTAATTTTTCGCCGTTAATTGTTCTATTGTAACCAGCAGTCTAGCCTCATAAAAAATACCAGTCTAGATTTATGTATGATCGCCGAAATAAAATCTTAATCATTTTCAGCACTATAATGAATTAAACAGCCATGCAATAACATAATTTCTCAACATATTTTTATGATGCCACTACCAACTTAAAATTCGGCTCTACTATTCCTGAACCCATAAAATGATCGTCGGAGGTAGCTATCAGAAAAATTATCGGGTAATATTATTTATAAACAATTACCTACACACTTTCTAAACAAACCACGAGCAAAGAGTCGCCGTAGCACTTATACGCTCTTTTGTAGGGCCAAAATAGATCAGGATTATTCAGGCAAGTCAGAAATTATACCGTTTTATTTTATTGGAAAATTACTCTCTACTTTTTCCAAACCCTCATCGGTTGCATAATTATTTAGTACATATATAGTCCGGTCATTCTGTGCATAGACCTAGAAAAAATTGCAACAGAATTTCTTTTTGTGGGGATATTATCCTCACATAATGTAGTACTTCCAACAAAAAATGTAAAAAAATCTAAAAAAAATATAATATAATTTAATTTTAACAATAATTATTATTATAATTGAAATTAGAAATAAATAATTCCAGGCATTGCCTGAAATTCCCTTACCCGTTCGCCAGGGGGTCCAGGGGGACCCGGAATTGGCATGGTATTGTGCCCAGAGTAGGAGTCCCCACCAGGAGGCCCGGGAGGCCCAGGAGGCCCTCGGGGTCCAGCTGGGCCTGGAGGGCCCGGTGGCCCCGCAATGCCGCTTCCAAGTCCCGCGGTCCCAATGTCCCCGGTCTCGTCTGCGCCAAAAACGCCGCTGAAACCCGGCTTCTTTCCGGGTCGGGCCTGGCGTGAAGCGTAATTTATATTAATTGTTAATGAGTCACTAGTACTCGTTACTTAGTTGGTATAAGTGTAGTATAATTATGAACATTATTAAGTGAACTACTGATTAAACTGATACTGATTAAACTACTACTGTACTAGAAAGTACAGGGTTAAGTGAAGCATAACCTATATTAATTTTTAATGAGGCATTAATCATTACTAAGTTGGTATAAGTGTAGTATAATTATGAACATTATTAAGTGAATTACTGAGTAAAGCACTAGTAAGTACAGGGTTAAGTGAAGCATAACCAAGATCAGTATTAAATGAAGCATAACTTATGTTAATTTAATTGACGCATTACTAAGTTAGGTATAAGAGTATTTTAACTATGAACAGTAGTAAGTGAAGTATTAAGTGAAACACGAGTAAGTACAGTATTAATACTGTACTTAGCATAACTTATGTTAATTTTAATTGAGGCATTACTAAGTTCACTATGTATATGGCATAACAATGAAAAGTATTAAGTGAAGTATTGAAAGTATATTATTGTGTGAAGTATTGAAGGTATAAAGTAGTGTTAGGTGAAGCATAACTTATAATAATTTAAATTTAGTTATTACTAAGTTCAGTATAAGTGTAGCATAAATATGAACAGTTTAACTTTAAGTGAACTATTGAGTGGAATATGAGGGACTACAGTAATAAGTGAAGCAAAACTAAGATCCGTATTGAACTATGCATAACAAAGATTAAAAGTAACTAAAATAAAATAAAATGTTGATAATTGATGCCAATTTACTTAAATAGAAATTTCTTCATGTAAATAGCACTTTCATGGCATACATCAAGCCATTTAACCGTTAACTTCAACAAAGACGAGTGCCTCAATACTCACCACGATACCAAAGAGGCCCCCGTCCACATAAGTGGCCCCACGGCCCATCCCGCCCACAGCCCCTGGACCAGGAGGCCCCGGGGGGCCTTGCTCCCCCTTCTGGCCCTTGATGCCCCCCACGTCCCCGTCAAATCCTTCAATTCCTGATAACAAAATTATATTAATATGTTTAACAATAATATTAATAATATTTAACAATAGTGTTAATAATATTTAATAATAATATTAATAATATTTAATAATAATTTTAATAATATATAGTAATAAAATTAATAATATTTGATAATACTATTAGTAATGCATATTAATAATATAATTAATATATAATAATTAATAATCCAGTTACATTCATTCTAAAAGACGCAAGGCATTTTCGACGAGAACTAATAGACTTTTTTATCAAGGCATTAAACTAATGGATATGGAAACGATTTTTAACGAAACGTGAAAAATAGTGAACACAGATCACAATAATGTTGATAAATATGCATAAATCAAATTGATTGTCATAAAAATTATACATAAGTTACAATATTTCAACTACAAAAATTCCAAGTTAATCTCGAACTCAGCCTCAGAATCTGACCTCCGGGAGGCCCAGGTGGGCCCCGTGGGCCCGGAGGACCCATAAGGCCTCTGAGGCCCCGCCGACCCGCCTCTCCGTCCCCTCCGGCGTCTCCTTTCTGGCCCTGAGGCCAATCAAAAATTAAACATATAAATAAACAAAAAGTTTTTACATTTTGGCTATAAGTGCCAAATTTCAGTAAAGGTTGACACATCAACGTGGAATCGTTGTAATATTATACTATGTTAATTTAATCTAATAATAATCAATGATAATAATAATTAATAATTTAATAATAATTTCACTTTGTGTTGAATTCATTTGGACTTCATATAGGCCATCAAACAAGCAATTATAACTTTCATGTACGGTTATTATAATGCCATCAGACGCACAATATAAGCTAGGGGTCAGCCAGATTTAATGAATCGAACAACGATACTTCATGGATATTTAATATAAATAGTGAGCTGAACTGACATTGAGGGCAAATTTGTTCAATCTTGGTCCAACGACAAATAGAAACAATCTTCGTTTGTAAACTAATCCTGTCGACCTATAATGGTATAGGTTTTAGCTCCTGTTTCAGACAACTCAAACCAGCACCATTGTTGTTTTCAGTAGTCAAAAACAGATTTTTAGAAGTCATAGCTGGGGTCAACATTGTTTCTACGAAGGTAGGAACTGCGATAACGCGGGCCTTGGCGAATAATTTTCACTTTTAGTGATGTAATAAAAGCGTTTACTGTGTTGTCAGGAACTTCAATTGAATTATTCATTCTAGGGAATTAAATTCACAGCAGGATCGACTTTGATGGATTGAATTCTGATTTAATTTTGCTGTTTTTGGGAAATTTAAAAAAATATTCCAGACTTTGTTGACAATAATGTAATTATCTATAGTTAGTTATATCATTAGTTCGCTTAAATCACGAGTTTACATAGAATTTAAAAGCAAAGAAGACGTCATGAAAATTCCTTATATCTTCAAGATATCTTGACTATATGATGAATTAACTTGGCGAGTTCATCGCTCTCTATATATTCATATGAACCATTTCTTCTAAGGAATCAAAAACTAAACTGAAGTGACCGTAACTCACAAAAATGTATTTATCCACTCTAAAATATATTTATTTATATATAAAAAATATATATTTATATAAAATATATTAATTTGTCTTAAATAATAAAATGTAAGATATATTATATCCATATAGTTTTATACATAGTATATAATAAGTTATCTATATTTATCCACTGTTTCAAGGCATTTAGAAGAACCAACCTTGATGACGACCACCGTGCCGTTGGAGAACGACACAGGCCCCGGGGGGCCAGTTTCTCCCTTAGCGCCTTTGTCTCCAGGCTCTCCTGCCTCTCCGCTGGAACCGGGTTCTCCCTGGAGAATTTTCAAATTCAAATTTGAAACACAGTTACAAAAAAACAATCTTTGATTGTTTTTTAGAGTTAAAAGTAAGAGATCAATATTAGCTTCTAACTTATATACTCCATTTGTCATAGATTCCTTTTCTGAAATAGTGTATACACTAATTTCTCAAATATATTATATTTTAGCGAAAGTTTGTTTGTTAGTAGCTGTATTTGGACATCTGAATATGTCCTGCTAATATTCGAATAATATATAGAGGAATATTCTAATATGTTCGTAAATGCGTTAGCATTCGTTTTTTCTTCCACCATAGGTGCGTCGTGGCGATAATAAGCAATATCATGTCATTAAATCTTATGTAGACTTCGTTGTCTTTCTCGGGAAATGAGAAGCGTCTTTAGAGGCCACGATTTCATTGTATTCCTTAGTATCCTCTAAGGAATTGTATTCCTTAGTATCCTTAGGGCGGAAAAATCGGCCATCTTTTCTTGACGAAGTGAAATGAATAAAATAAATCACCATGATATCGGTGATTTGGTGACACGAACGATCATCAATTGTTTTTTCCCTAAGCCTGTTGTTACGTTTGCTGGTCGTATCTCTTTAGAGTCACAGCTAAGGGTAAAGATGGGCAGAGACGAGACTAGAGGTTTGTGGAACTGTATTTTGTGGAATCTGGTATACAACTGAAGGACAAAGGCTTGATGGCCTTACATTGACATACTATTGACAATATAGTAGTTCCATTTGAATTTGACCGTAATACGTAAACACGTAACATCTGTCACAAAGTTGAAGCGAATGGCTGTTTGATAACCATGTATTTTGTATTAAATAAATTACTGGTAAACAAACTAATGCCATGCACATAGCGTCGATGTGTCTCCGGTATGACCTAATCATCTTGACTCAATACAAAATGTCTTCCACGAGCTAACTAGTTAACTTAGCAAATAAAATAAAATATCACTCGTCAGCCATCAATTTAAAAATGAAGAGTGTTGAATAAAATATGTCTTATACATGGTTAATCAATAAAACTTACTCGAGGGCCCATATTGCCAGTGGGGCCTTGGGGCCCTATGGGTCCCATTGGGCCCTCCTCTCCTTTGAGGCCCATGAGGCCAGGCATCCCGGGCTCTCCGGGCTCCCCTTTTGGTAAGAAAACTTCCACTTTCTTTGAAACTGTAAATGAAAAGCTCCCATTACTTTAATTTATGACATTAATTACTACACAATTTTTGAAATAATGAAAATATTTGCATGAACTGATTCGGTTAAAAAGTTCACCAATAACATAGATTAAATTTTGGGTCATATATTTCACACAAAAGCCTATTTTTATAAATGTAACACTCATTCGATTATTGGGAACAATAAATGAATAAATGATTGATAAACACAGCTCAGGTGAATAGCATCGGAGCCGAATAAAGGGACATAATCTTGTTTTAAACATGAGACACGATACCAGAGGACATTCTTCGGGTGCATGCATGCATGCATGACAATTTTCGGGACAATCCGCATGCATGCCCGTTGAAATTGATCGTAATATTTCGGACCCGATGCATTGAGACAATCTACGGGACAAACCGCATGCTTGCCCGTTGAAATTGATCGTAATATTTCAGACACGATGCAATAGGACAATCTACGGGACAATCCGCATGTTTGCCCGTTGAAATTAATATTTCAGATCGAAATGTCATGTTACTGATACAGAAGTTGCGGCGATGCCCAACTCACCGTCCCTGAGCTGCTGCGGACCTTCAGGTGTCATGTCGGTGAACCGCTGGATGGTTGACATGACCATAGCGTTCACCTCTTCGGGACTGTAGAACTGGGACCCTTTGATACCTTTGGGACCTCGGGGCCCTGGTCGGCCGACACCGGTTGGCCCAGGATCTCCTTTCTGTCCCTTCAGACCCACCATCCCATCCAGACCTGGCCGGCCCGGAATGCCATCGATTCCTGGAGGTCCGCGAGTGCCTTTGTCGCCTAGTCGACCAGCCGGGCCCTGGATGCCCTGTAAAAAATAATTTCAAATAGGTTCTTTTTATAAGGATTTTAAACATTCATCGTAGCAATTATTTTCATTATAAACAGTTCCCTCAAAATTGCAATTTCTTTCATGGAAGTACATTCCGAATCAAATTTTAAACCGCGTCTGTATTGAAGTCTGGAATTATCTGTTAAGGTAAAAATCTTTTTCTATTGAATTTATGTTTGTTATGTACAAGGAATAAACGGAAATCATTGCAATCTAACGGAAGAGCTAAAACAGTTAATATTTCAAGTTCTAATTCTTAGTCAATAGTTGATTTCAAAATGGAAATATTTCAATATTTCAAGCTCAGAGTTTGAAAGTATTTGAAGACAATTGATGTAATTCATGAGCAAGATACATTATTTATTATTCTTGCTTAAAAAAAATATATATAAAATACCAGGATTTTTCACTAATTAAACAAGTCATCGTTTTAGTCTCCTTAAATGCCTTTTCCCTATGATATTTATCATGATATCTTTAACAAACCTCATTGCCTTTGTTCCCCTTCATCCCTTCATATCCCCGCTCCCCTTTCGGGCCCTCGGCCCCTTTGAGCCCCGGTAACCCTGGTGCCCCCGGAAGGCCCGGAGGCCCGGGAGGGCCCATCACCCCAGGCATCCCGATGGCCTCCACGGAGGTCGTTTCCGCCATGCCGTCCATCGAGGTCATCTGATGGACAGTACATAGACATTGTATGTTATCACTTATTAGTAAATAGTTAACCGTCCATCGAGGTCATCTGATGGACCGTACAAAGACTTTGTATATAAGGATTTATTGTATGATAGTCTAATGATGATTAAGTAAATAGTTAATTTTCTTTACTGATTGTACTTGTATTGCAGCAAATTTTTTAACTGATGCATGGAGCTTTTCTCCGAAAACGCTTTCATCAAAGATGAAATGACTTTACTCTGAATTTTCGCTGCTTTTAAATTTTTAAAGAATAAATTTGAGCGAAAGAAATGAAACAAAGCTCAATAGATACATACACGTTACTGCAGCGTTCATACTTCTTCGGTATCACTTGCCTAAAAAGCATTCAAATGTTTTCTATGATTTCCTAAAATAAATTTATTTCCTAAAATTTAAAAAATTCCTTATTCATAAATTTGGTGTAGTTTGGCAGAAGCTTCTCTTTTATGCAAGTTTGATTGAAGACCAGAGCATGCTTTTTATTAACAATCTTCTTGTTCGTCTTTTCAATGAGTCGAACCAAATTTCTAGCTGGCGCCGGGAGATCGAAAAGCAGGTTTCCGAATGACATTGATTCGGAAACCTGCTAAAACCTAATTTTAAGCTAATATTTTTAAAATTGTATCCACTATACCATTCATATGTTCTTCTGTCATTCCCAAAATTTAATTTTAAGTGTTGCAAAACCTTCACCAGCTTGATAATGAAAATTGTATTTTCGAAACGTCGCAATCTATTAAAATGTCATTCGGAAACCTGCTTTTCGATCTCCCGGCTCCAGCTAGAAATTTGGTTCGACTCATTGAAAAGACGAACAAGAAGATTGTTAATAAAAAGCATGCTCTGGTCTTCAATCAAACTTGCATATTCATAAATTTATATATGTATATTGAAAAATACTTGTAGCAATTGTCGCTTAGAATTACGAATCAAGCTAAATATTAAAATTTACCGAGTAAATTTAACACGAAGAATTTCACTCAATATTTAACAGTGGGAGATACAACATTTCTATCAATTTTGTCAAAAATCCTCTCCTTCATTGACAAAACTTTAAAATCTTAAGCATGCTTAAAGTAGAATTTTACCCCATGTTTCATCACAAGTAATCTAATCTGGAGACACTCACCGAGTAACCAATGCCGTTTCCCCAACTCGGCTGTATGGAGACAAATTAAAAAACAATGAAAGATAGAAAACCATATATATAGTGCGAATATTTCATCAAGAATTATTTTAAAGTATTATGGAAAAAATTCTGCATAAAACATGAATACTTGACTAACAAGTATTAATAATACATGTTTCTCTGAATTAAGTCACTTATTAAGTAAACGCAAAAATTTTAGTTTAGTCACCGTCAATCCATATTAACTTTTGTTTTGTTTATGGTGGCATCCCTCACCTTCCTGCCACCAAGTCGTATTTATGAAACTTGTTTCTCTGAATTAATTCACTAATGAATTAAACGCAAGAAATTTAGTTCATTCAATATCAATCCATATTAACTTTTGCAGTATTCATTAACGGCATTTCTAACCTTTCGTCCACCAAGTCCGTGGTCCCCGCGGCCCATGGCAATACCGGGGTTGCCCGGTGGCCCCGGAGGACCGGGCGGGCCTACTGGGCCCTGCTGCCCGTCCGTCCCGGGCTCACCTTTGGGGCCCTGGAGTCCCTCCTTGCCTTGAGGGCCCACCTCCCCTCGCTCCCCTTTATCACCGCTGCGCCCCGGCATTCCGCGCTCCCCTTGAGTTCCGGGGTTACCCTTCAAAAATGACAAATTGGATTTAGATTTGACTTTAAAATACAACGGCATTAAAATGAACTACAATTAAAAATTATTGATTCAAAATAAATGATTTCGGTAAATAATTTTTTAGACTTACGCTGAAGTCTTTTTAGTAACCCAATTCTACAGTCGATTTAATTTTATTATATCGTTTTTTTCTCGACATTATTTTAAATAAGGTAATTTTTAGCACATTCTACGTCAAGCACACACCGATATTTTACGTCAAGCTCAAAATATTTGATTTGAGAAAATCATAAATTTTTTGTTCAATAGGTACATATTAAATGACGCTAAATATTCCCTAGTAATACCATAAAGTACTATAATGTAAATCCCTAATAATACTATATTCCCTAATGCTGATCCATCAATTTCTATTATGTAAATAATTACCATTTTTTAAAAGGCACTCACCGAGAGTCCGGGAGCTCCAGGTTTTCCATCACGGCCCCGGATCCCGGGTGGGCCCCGCGGGATGTGTGCGGTGACCAGGTTCAGTAAGTGGCTGGTGTTGCACCGACACTGGCCCAGTGCAGTGTCACCCATGGGGCCACCTGTCATGGGCCCGCCTGTCATCCCACCACCTGCGCCCGACCATTCGCTCTGGTGACACAGGAACGAGTGACGTGTATACAATTTAATTCACCCATGGGGCCACCTGTCCTGGGCCCGCCTGTCATCCCCCACCTGCGCCCGACCATTCACTCTGGTGACACAGGAACGGGTGACGTGTATACAATTTAATTATTACAAATTTATTAATAAATGCTAAGGACTCTGAAGTTTCCAGGTTTTTTGCTTCAATACTGAGAGTGCGATAGAAGTAAGGATAATCCTGTGTAATATCAAGTCAGAATCGTAATGGCCACTTAATATTCACTTAGCTATTCTTAGCTAAATTTAACTTCTAATGTCCAGTATATTAAGGCCCAATCCATGAGATATATGCAAGACGGCACAGGTCGTATCTATTGTACTTGAACGTCGAATCTTATTATAGAATCGGAACTTGTTCAAATTTGTATTTTACAGATATTTAAAGATGCATAGTCAGCTATTTTGTATAACTTTTTTTACAGTTATTTATATTATTTGGTTATTTGTTGATTTTTTTAATCGGATCCCGATTCATTAGTTAAATTTTATATTTGTTGAATGAGGAGATTGTGTACATGGATAAACAACTTGAAAATCTATTGCTAAAATTCAGTTGAAGAACAGGATCAACTTATGAGTGAATTACAATTAGGAATATCAGAAGGTGGAATGAGTGGCTAAGATTTACTTTGAATGATTTTTAAAATGTGCTTGAATTTTAATTCAGATCGTGCAAATGACTGATACAGTGATACATTTTCACATTTACAGTGAAAATATTCTCAAGTTTTAGCTATGATGGGGTTTTCACTTCCTTTAGCAACTATCACATTGCTCGGGATTTTTTCACCTTTAGATTCGAGGACAACATAACCCAAATCCCGTTTGATAAATTACACAAAATAAGTTACCTAATCCTTGCCCCCGTTCATCCATTACCCGTTAGTCTTACTCCAAAAAGAAAATTTCACATCCACGTAAAATCCCCATCGTTAATTTCACATCCACCCATCCCCACACACTATATACTGAAAAGTCAATACTAGCACAAAAAATAGTAAACGTTAAATACTATCGTAATAATAAAATACTAGCAGGTTAACCCGGCGTTGCCGAGGATCGGTAATTCCTACATTTTTGTAATCTCGTCATTCCCGCTGTCCCGATTCAGGTAAATAATAATAAAGCTTTTTTTCATATTAAAAAAGATTCTCATCGATCCAAAATTTCACACTGAACTAAAACTCCTATCTGAATATCGATACAAAATATGGAAGAGAATTTTGCGTCTTTGAATTTAATCGTATGTTTATTCTCTTATAAATACAATTTCAATTTTACATCAAATAGTTTCCTTCTAGTTTTGTTGTGCCATACAAAACTTCCAACAACAACCATACAAACAAGCTTTGAGTCGCATATATCAGTTAAATGCTTATTTCAAAGCTGTATGAATTTGAATGAGCTAGGATCAAAATTTTTGTGCAATATTTATGTACTTATAATCTTTTTCTGTTAACCGCGTTTGGAGGAAGTATGTAATTAAGGGCTGCAAAATATCAGAAAAGAACGAATAGATAATATAGAAATAAGGTAATTAATACGATGTATACACGACGAAGATTTGCAGAATTTATTACGTTTAAATCGCGAAATTTAATTATTTGTAATAATTGTAATTATTTAATTATTTGTCGTATAATTTAATTTTAATTTGTATTTGCTTCTATTACGTTTAAATAACGAACTTTACAAGACAAGCTACCATCTCGCATATCAAATTATAGTTAAAATCAAACGTGTTGAAGTGCATGCAAAACACAAATGTTTCATATAAACGAAAATTCATTATTTCAAATATCCTAAATTGAGATTCAAAATTAATACTGAACGCATTATGGATAAAGTTTATTTAGAAGCATTTCTGAGCTTAGAAGAATTTGTTAAATCATAAAAATTATTTTTGTTTTGATGATTTGAAATTAACGCCAACGTACATACCAAGGGAACGAATAATCCAGACGTCTGCGCATCAAACAGAACGAAAATGTTAGAACTTTCGATGAAATTGTATTCAAAATAGAATTATACTAAAAAATAGCATTCAAAACAGCCAACGTGATGGCACCGGAAAACAATCTGAAGTAAGAAGATTATACTCAAACTTCCCGCCAAAAGCCTACAAATTGTTCATTTAATGTGAGATGAATTATTCTGGCCGAATTTAGTTAAAAACATCAGCAATCTTAGCGCAACAAAGAAAAGTCTATGGTAAAAAGTGGCCCATTTCGCCGATTGTTTCCGTCTCACGCTTTGTCGGAGACGCGAGCAATGGCTGCTGGAATGCGTCACTTTTTCAGAGTTTGCGAGGACGACAAAGGAGAATTTAGATGAGAATCTCAAACTCCACAGAAACTTTGTGATGATGTATAAATTGTTATCTGAAGTTATAAAACTTTTATTTCAAAAAGCGGTACTCGCGATTAAATAAAGAAGGGCTGAATTTGAGGTTTCTGAAATCCCAAGGAAAATCTAAACGAGGATTTCTTACACCGCTGGAATCTATATATTATGTAATTCTAAAAATTTAGCTTGCAATATCATGAATTTTTATTATATTTTCAAAAGAACTAGATAAATATTCTCAAATATTTGACAGCAGCACCAAAAAATTAGTTTGGCCGTTAAAAATTGGTAAAATGTTACTATCTGCTCTGAATACAAAGAACTTTAGTAATACCAATGATAAATGCATTTGTGCTGGCTAAAATAATTTCGTTTGGAAAATATTATGATTATAACGTTGAAAAAAATTGATCTTCCCCGACATAATATTACTGCGGTAAACTATGTTGTTTTTTTCAATGTTTTTCAGTTATATGTACAATTTGAAACAGGAAATTGTAATTATTTGTTGAGTAGATTGAGCTACGTTCAGAACCAATACACGCTTATCATGGTTAGATAAAGTCATGCTTGACGTTACGTCGTCCGTCTATCACTCTTCATAAAATGGAATTCAGTGCAAATGCCGCAGAATTTCGAATGGGTTTTCGATGTGACGATAGTTTTGCAATCTTGCTCGACGTGGAAATTTGAATTCAGTCATGATTGCTTGAAGGCTATCGAAATTTATCTGTATATTACAATATTAGTTGTTTTAGGTGGCTTTCGAATTAAGGATAAAAAATTTCTTGCCTAAACTCATGACAGAAATTGATATGTGATATCTTAAAATAAAATGCTGACCAGAATTTAGAGAATTATTCACCAGGCTTCTTTCATTATACAATTTCATGAAGAATTAAATAAAAAGTGTATGCCAATATATACTTTGATATTCTTTTTCGGCAATTTTTCCAGCAACATGGAGTAAATTTTTTATGAAGTTCACAGCAAATTCCGAGAATAGGAATGCTTCGATACATTTTCATCTGAGAACGTGCTGGTTTATTTAAAAATGTATATGAATCACCGAGTTTTACAATTTAATCATGAAAATTGGACCCATTTTCAAATACACGACATGTTACTTTACGGAACAATTATAACATTGAATAATAATATGAACTAAATTACGTTATTAAGCAATGAGTATTAAAATAAATAACTGATATTAATTGAAAGTATGAAACTTACCCTGTCGTCATAATAGTTGAAGTCGTCTCCTGGCGGCGATGATCGGGATAAATGAGTTAAATTAATTAAATTAATAATGATTAAAGTGTCAGGCACAATTAGGTAAATCTCTATATATGCAGGGTATCCCAAAACTTTTTAATTAAATATATATCATCGTAGAAGTAACATATTTTTATTCATATTCACAATTTATGTTTTTTATTATTTAAGGTATTTAAGGTACAAAGAATTTGGAGCAATATTTGTAAAACTTTTAAATTTATGTTTTTTTGAATTTTTTTGAAGTAACAAATTAATAAAGAGCAACAACAATTTTCCTTTGAACAAATACCTAAAAAATAGAGATATATTGTGAATAAGAGAAAACTAAATTTTGTTTATTTAAAGCACAGAAATAACCAATTAAAAAGTCGGGTACATTTTTGTGGGAGACCCAGTTTAGTAAACATTAATTTTTTTATTATAAATTAATTTTTTTTCAGACAAATAATGTGCAAATTAGGATGTGGTCTCAATCAAAAGATCTAAACCACTTTTTTCTTTTCATTTGCGATCTGATTGATGAAATAATAATTAAATAAGATGATGAAATGAAGTAATAATGAAATAAAATAACAATGAAATAAATTAATAATGAAATGATGAAGGGAAGATTTTTTTCAACGGTCGGAAATTTACTTGCATTTTAGGTTGGGATTTTTTCTTGAAAATAAACGAATTCGTACACATGAATGAATTACTGGATGGAAAGCAAATTCCAAATATTGAATACACTATATATGTAGAAAATATAAAAAAATGTAATGTTTAAAAAATTATTAGCTGGATATAACTTTAATTAGGGCACCTGCTAATGCACCTGAAGGATATTTTGATCATTATTATCATTATTTAAAAATTAACTATGAACCATCATTTAAATGTAGGTAATAAGGAAAATTTAAATACTATTCCCTAATGTAAACCATACATACATGTATATTAGCTGTAAAATGAATTGCCTTATTAGCTATAGAAATTTGCAGTCAACGGTTTAACAATTAAGAACCCGCTATTTAAACAAAATAGACATAATTCCCTCCGTAATATTATCGTATTGATAACGAAGGACATAATTTAGATTGTAATATTGGCATATATGTACAGAATGAACATAATAATACGGTAACATTGAGGTATTAATAAAAATTTAACATAATTAACTTGTTATATTTTAGATGTGATACAAAATAGACATAAGTAATTATTTATGTAATAGATGTGTATTGATACAAGATGTACATAATCAGCACTGTAATATTAGAGTATTGATACAGAATGGTCATAATAAGCACTGTAATATTAGAGTATTGATACAGAATGGTCATAATAAGCGCTGTAATATTAGAGTATTGATACAGAATGGTCATAATAAGCACTGTAATATTAGAGTATTGATACAGAATGGTCATAATAAGCACTGTAATATTAGTGTGTTGATACAAAATGGACACAATTAGCAATGTAATATTAGTGTATTGATACAGAATGGACATAATTATTAATTCAATATTGTAGTTTTGACTGCGAAAGTACATTATTAATAATATAATATTGGAGTTTTGACTGAGAAAGTACATTATTATTGATATAATATTGGAGTTTTGACTGAGAAAGTACATTATTATTAATATAATATTGGAGTTTTGACTGAGAAAGTACATTATTATTAATATAATATTGGAGTTTTGACTGAGAAAGTACATTATTATTAATATAATATTGGAGTTTTGACTGAGAAAGTACATTATTATTAATATAATATTGGAGTTTTGACTGAGAAAGTACATTATTATTATTATATTGGAGTTTTGACTGAGAAAGTACATTATTATTATTATTATTATATTGGAGTTTTGACTGAGAAAATGCAATATTATACTGTAATATTATTGACGCATATATACCTCGTCCTCGCTCAGTCAAGCCGTTGGCTGCCTTCCCGTGTAGACCTTCGAAGCGATTAGGACGACCTGCATTTAACTGGAAAAAAATTCATTATTATTTGCATGATTTAGCTTGATTTAGGATATATTTCTATTTTTCAGCTATATTTTCATGTGACTGTTATAATCACATAAATGGAGAATAAAATGCTTTAAAAAACTTTAAAAAAAACACGTTTTTCTTGTGGACTAAAAAATAGAAAATAAATTATGGCTCGCCCCAAAAAACGTGTGTCGGGCAGATTTATGATTAAAGCGAAAAGCACAACATGATATATATATACTTTACTGAATTACGCTAATTTAGGTCTTTAATTGCTAGTTTTTATGATTGTATCTGTAATTGTTAGGCGAAAATAGCCTGCATGCCGAATTTTAGATCTCTAGAGCAATTAGAAGTGGGCTAATTTTTGTTGTCAATGTTAACAACAAACAAAAAACAAACGCGAAGCTGAGTTAAGAAAAACGTGTTAAAAACGTGTTAAAAAGGAATTTAGTCTTCTGATGTAGGTAGTAATGGTTTTTCAAATCGATGCATAATAGAATAATTTCAAAAATATGTTGAATATAAAATTAAAATTGCATACATAATTCTAAAATGTGTGGAATAAAAATTTCGGTAAATAAATAAACTGATGCAAAAAAAACTTGGAGGTGAATTTTAATAATTTAGATGAAAAAAAAATTTATACTCATTTTTAGGTGAAATGAAACAAAAAATAAATCATAGTATGTGTCCAATTGTCCAGGCGACTAAATAAATCTTTTCTCAGTCGAGAAAGTCGTTGCCAATCAAATTCAGGGGCACAAAATTCCAAAATTTCAAGTTTTTATTCGCATTATCTTACAAATTTAGCTCGATTATTATCGTTGAAAACGAATAAATCTAAATTAAATAAATAGAACGGAATCGAATAGATCAAAACTTCTAGCTCCTCGTAACACGGATAATTTTTTTCATTTCCCTGCTGCCTTTTGGAGGAATTTATTGTTTCATAATATTAAAAATGTAAAATTTAAGAAATAATAATTTAGTTATAATTTTAATTTGAAAATCTGGGAACCTTTTGTACTGAGCGACAAGTGCTTAATTTCACTGAAATTTTTCTCGACATGTAACCAAAGTTATAATAAAAAAATGCATCAATGAGCACAGTTCAACATCGAAAAGTTGAACTTCGAGAAGTTAAACATCGAAAAGTTAAACACCGAGAAGTTAAACATCGAAAAGTTGAACATCGAGAAGTTAAACATCGAGAATTGGAAAATTGAGAAGTTAAACATCGAGAAGTTAACATCGAGAAGTGAAGTTAAACATCGAGAAGTTAAAAATCAAGATAACCACTGCTGTATTCTAATATCATATATCGTTTTCCCCATGCGCGAAGAGAGCCAATTAGAGAGCGAGACCATGCAGAGGTTGCAGTGTCGAGAATAATACTGCAGAGCGCAAGAGAAACACTGGCTTTCCGGCCGACTGCTTCAATAGAGGCTCATTCTGCCTTTATGCTGAATTGTCTATTGCATAAACCTTCATTCATTAAATGTATGCAACTGCTCGCGCACATGAATCAGTTTTGCAAGCAGATGCACAATTTTTCATATTTTTAATAACTTGGAAACAAAAATATTATTGATGGACACTATGCCCAAAAAATTCACAATTTACCATCGTCTTATGACCAAGAAATTTTATATAAATCATATTTATACTATTTACCGAAAACTACTGCACAAAAAGCATTGAATCAAAACTTCTATACGTAGAACTAAAAAAATTCTATTCGTAAAACTAAAAATAATTAACCATAATTTATACAAAATATTGCAATTAAATTTTGGATTTTGGGACGAAATTCAGACACAACCAGTTTTGAACATCTTTCAAATATTATTTTCATCCAACATTAAGAGCGATCATACATGTACCAATCATTGACTAGACGAAGTCTTGCACGGTTGTTTCAAATGTTAATTAACTATGTTAATTAATAAATTATGGAAGGCTTAATGATGCCTTTCATCATGATATTAATGATTTCAATGTTTCATCAAATAATAATGTTAATAATAAAGTGTTAATTTATTTAACTTTGATACGTTGGGGTTGCACTGAACAGTTCTTACCAACAACAGCAGATAATTACTTATGGTTTACGATATAAAGTTGCTAACTGCAGCTGTAGCAACTCTTTCCGCGATGGTATAGGAAGAACTTGAGACGCAAGCTAACGCGCCGAGAACGTCAAATTCGGATGAGCTCAACAAATTTTGTATCATTTGGCAACATTGATATTACGTAGAGTTTTGTTTATGCTTCTTGCCAATCGCGGTTATATTAATGTAGCGCTGAAATCAGTAAAGTTGAGGCATAACTGAAGTCAAATTCAGATGATGCAACTCCGAAGTCAAGTTCAGTTGATTCAACACTAATGTAATCACGTTTACTTGCTGCGACACTAAAATCTAATTAGGAAATCGGCTTTTTACCACCATAGAGCAACGTTCAGTGAGTGTCGTTATAATTGTATTGCATTAGTTATCTATGGATAGATACAATTTTGTCAACGTTACAGTGAAAAAACTGACAAAAAATACAAAACAAGTCTTCATAAGAATTTTGATTGAATTGTTTCCTTCGCGCCGACTTTTCTGCCATCAAAATAACACTGAATTAAAGAATTAAAAATCGCCTAATATATTTTCAATGATATGACAATATCTTATGACGAATAGAAATTACAAATGAATATGTTAATTAAATTGTAAGAATTATCTTACCATGCCATTCTGTTCTAGAGCCTCGACTGCCCGAGGTTCATCATCGTACCATCCGAAAGCCGCCCCCGCTGATATCACCGCAACTAAAGCTAGCACCACCACCAGCACTAGTGCTATCACTAGTCCCGATGATCGGGACAGTCCGGCAGCCATTTTACCTAACCATCAGGGGCTAAATTAACTGCAATGTACGAACAATATATTGTTAATAAAAAGGTAATTTATTTTATCATGAAACATTTTACCTAACATTTAAACCATAAACATAAAACATTTTTTACCTAACATTTTACCTAACATTTAAAACATTTATCATAAAACATTTTACCTAACCATCAGAGGCTAAATGAACTGCAATGGGCGAACAATATATTATTAATAAAAGTTAATTTATTTTATCATGAAACATAAGGAACTACTTGATCAATTAATGCCACAAGCAAAAGTTACAAGAAATAAAGATGTTTCAGATTTGAAAAAAATAACATGGAGACGAAATTGAAGTTTTTTGACTGAGACGGGGAGTGCGACTAAAATTTTTGGCACTTGGAGTTAAATTGTGACGATTTCAATATTCGTTAGATACAAATGAGAAAAATTCTGACTAGGCAATCAATATTATGGAAACTTCATTCAAACTTTTCTATTAAGAACTTCTTATTGGCCTTCGTTTATTGATTGAAATTTTTGTTCGTTGATGGCTATAGTAACGTTGTTAATTATTGCGATAAAATGGTCTTTAATATACCCAAGGTTCTATTGACTTGAATATTTTCAGGTATATATTGAATATGAAGGATATAATTCGAACATGGCCAGATACACATGGCCAGATACATTGCGATTTAAACATTGAAACGTGGCCAGATACATTGAAAAATTCTGTAAACTATATAACTATATGTAACCATAGAAAGTTTCGGAATAAAGTGCAGCACTTCGGGTAACAAGCACTTGGGAGTTCCATGCATTGAGAATTTTGAATCGTTATTTATTTTTTCAAATTCGATAAACGTAAAGATTCATCATTTCTTTGACGATAGTTATACGCAATTTTTTTGCTACTTTTCACATTTGAGATTCTCCATGTATTTCCTTTGAAATTAAGTATTTTAAATACAAAATGTACATGAAGTAAATTTTTTAGAAGTCCACATCGGAAACATCGAAAACAGCACTTTTTACTGGAGCGAAAGTTTACACGTGCGCTTCGTCTCGCGAGTCACGAGCTTCTGCCGCTCTGCAGGCCTATCTCATGATGTCTAGAAACCTCCGGGCTTTTGGGTGTTTTCGTCTTCTTGGGCAGACACATGGTCTACAGACACATGGTCTACAGACTATATAAGACCCTGTGGCGACATGCGCTGCAGATGGCGTCTTGGAATCGGATAGATGGCCTGGAAATGACTTCCGGCGGATGAATGCATCAAGTGAATAATAAATTAATGCATGCGTGCATTCAATTAATGCATAAAATTATTTTTTTTTGGTATGTCGAATGTCAAATAGATCGTAAAAATTTTTAACGATTATTGAATAGATCAACGGCATTCCTTGGGTTTTTCCACATGTGAGTTTCAAGTCCAGTTTACCGACGATTTTCGGTGACGCACTACAAAATTTCTAAAAATTTTGAATTCAAAATTAATTCGGAAAAGTGTCTCCTAGAGAGAATTCTAACGTTAACAACCATTATCAAAGCAAGTAAAAGAATTACTTCATCAATCAAGTAACTTCAATGTGATGTAATAGTATCTTTGAATGTGTAGTAATCATTTTCTACACAATAATCATTTTTCATCATCACTTTCTAATCGTCACTTTAATGGCCTTATCATCAACGAATTTTTTAGAATTTCTCGCTCCAAGCAGCACCAATGCAACATTTTTAATGCATGCAATATAATTAAAGAAGGATTACATCATTTCGCTGATTATTAAATGATTGACTGTGGCCAATTAATAAGGTTCAATGAAAACAATTCACGCAACCTAAAAAATCCAACTTATGCAACCAAAAACCAAATATATATTTATTTTAGTTTGAACCCACGACCTGCATTTATTATTCATATTTATAATATTATTTACACTTATATTATATTTTTATTTATATATTAATATATCATTTATAACCAAATTAATAAATAAACAGAAATCATCATACTATTTACACCTATATTATATTTTATTTTTCTATTAATATATCATTTATAACCAAAATAAGCCAAAACCAGAAATCATCATCACGCAATTCATATCCACAATTTCAGCCCATCACTTTTACTATCCCTCGTCCCAGCCCTCGGCCGTCAATACGAGGGAAGCTAAGGGCCGCCCGCCGTCTGTAAGCCCTCGTGTAATTACACGTCGGCGCCACGACGCCTTCAGCGCCTGCTGCTGCCTAGGCGCCTAACTGGGGCGACGTTTTCTCCTCTTACAGCCTAAGGAATTTATTGGTTTGGGTGACGATCTATTAGGTTATTTCAAGTATTATTATTGTTTTAATTCAATTAGAAATTATTATAATATTGGAATAATAATAATAATAATAATAAATAATAATAATAATAAATAATAATAATAATAAATAATAATAATAATACATTTACATTCAGAAATAGTAATACGGACGCTGTATTGAAAAAACAAAAGCATTAACGAGAGCACCCTGAATGGATTAAAATAAAAATTCATCACCTCAACCAGCAGACAATCTTCTAATAAAACCATCATTTTCAGCACGACTAACAACACAAGCACGACCAACAACACAAGCACGACCAACAACACAAGCACGACCAACAACACAAGCATGACCAACAACACAAGCACGACTAATGGGCTGAAAACAAACTTGAATTCAAATCGTTAAATTTACAAAATTCTATAACCATCTTGGTCTGGAAAAGTGCTTTCAAAAATGTAAATAAACCGACAAGATGACAATTGAGAGCCAATGACATAAAAATATATTTCACAAAATTTGAATAGCGCCCAGTATTTATAATTGAAAAAAATATTAGGAACAAAGGAACAGGCCAGCGTTGCTAAAAAAATTATTTCTATCATTCATCGATAGAATTATTATACAGATATTATTATATTAATTATTAACAGATTGTAGAACGAATTAGCCTGCAATTAATTTGCACCATGTTTTAATTTTTGGGAGTAAAAGAAGTTCATGCTATGATGTAAACTGAGTAGTTAAATAATGCAGGAATAAACGGCCGACATGCAGGAAATTACGAGCCGTAAAGAAGCTATTTGAGCGCCCCAGCTGTGTGGTGTAACTGGGGGTGGTGATGTGGGGTGATGGTGGTGATGTGGGGTGATGGTGGTGATGTGGGGTGATGATGATGATGTGGGGTGATGGTGGTGATGTGGGGTGATGGTGGTGATGTGGGGTGATGGTGGTGATGTGGGGTGATGGTGGTGATGTGGGGTGATGGTGGTGATGTGGGGTGATGGTGGTGATGTGGGGTGATGGTGGTGATGTGGG